GTAATCAACTCATCTGGTCCAGGAGTCAGCCTGCTTTTTCTATACAGGTCAGATGAGTAATTGTTTTAAGCTTGGCAAACCACATGCTCCCTGTCATAATTACTTAGCTCTGCTTTTATCATGGGAAAGCAGCCATGATAATACAGTAGCATGTGAGTGCGGTTTTGTTAAGGAAGGAAAGAAAGGAAGGGAAAGGAAAGCGAAGAAAAGGAATGGAGGGAAGAGGAGAGGATGGGGACTGGGAAGGGGAGATAGAAAGAAAGAAAGAGGCTTTGGGCTACATTTAGCCCATGGGTATAATTTGCCAACTGGTACTTTAGTGCAATATTCCTACATTTATTATGAAAATTATCAAATAAAAAAGAGAAATCCATATACTATCTCTTACATTTAACAATTGTTAATATTTTGCCATATTATTACCATGAAGAAACTTTCATCATCATGAGATTTTGCCTCTACATAATTAAGCATGTATCTTTAAAAATGAAGACATATTACTACATAAACTAATAAAATTGATAGTAACCCCTTAACAGCCCATATTTAAATGTCTTTAAATATCCCCAAAATTATTTCTATAGCTGCTTTGTTTTGATCAGAAATCTAGTTAAAGATCAGACATTGCATTTGATTATTAAATATTAAAAGTCTCTTATAATCTCAAACAGCAGCCCCCAACACACAGACACTTTTATATGACTCATTGAGGAATAATCTATTTTTTAAATTACATTTTAATGATTATGCTATTACAGTTTTCCTGATTTTCCCCCCTAGCCACCTTCCACCCAGCCTCCCCCACTCCCTCAGGCAATCCCACACCCTTGTGCATGTCCATGGGTCCTATGTGAAAGTTCTTTGCATACTTCCTTTCCTATGCTGTATTTTACTTCTCCATGGCTATTCTGTAGCTACCTATTTATACTTCTGAATCCCTTCATCTCTTCACCCATTCCTCCCCTCCCATCTGGCTATCATCAAAACACTCCATATCCATGATTCTGTCTCTGTTCTTCTTATTTGCTTAGTTTGTTTTTAGATTCAATTGTTGGTAGATACGTATTCATTGCCATTTTACTGTTCATAGTTTTGATCTTCTTTTTCTTAAATTAAGTCCCTTTAACATTTCATATAATAATGGTTTGGTGATGATGAAATCCTTTAGTTTTTTCTTGTCTGGGAAGCTCTTCACCGGCCCTTCGATTCTAAATGATAGCTTTAATAGGTAGAGCAATCTTGGCTGTTAGGTCCCTGCTTGTCATCACTTTGAGTATTTCTTGCTGATCCCTTACCCTGCAAAGTTTCTTTTGAGAAATCAGCTGACAGTCTTATGGGAACTTCCCTGTAGCTAACTGACTGCTTTTCTCTTTCTGCTTTCAAGCTTCTCTCTTTATCTTTAACCTTTGGCATTTTACTTATGATGTGTCTTGGAGTGGGCCTCTTTGCATCCATCTTATTTAGGACTCTCTCTGCTTCCCGTACTTGCATGTCTATTTCCTTCACAAAATTAAGGAACTTTTCTTTCATTATTTTTTTAAATAAATTTCTGATTTCTTCCTTTTTCTCTTCTCCTTCTGGCATCCCTATGATGTGAAGGCTACACTGCTAGAAGTTGTCCCAGATTCTGCTTATATTATCCTCATTTTTTGGACTCTTTTTTCTTCTTGTTGTTCTGATTGGTTGTTTTCGCTTCCTTATGTTCCAAATCATTGATTTGATTCTCAGCTTCATCCACACTATATTGTTACCCTATAAGTTGTTCTTTATTTCAATTAGCATCCTTCATTTCTGACTGGATCTTTTTTATGCTGTTGAACAATGTGCATAAGTACTAGAAACAATCCATGTCCTAGGAACAAATACCAAAATTTCTCTTTATATTGTTCTTAACATATTTACCTCAATTTCTTCTTTATTTTTATGTGAGATTAGAAAAAATGTGTATACAAATATAGAGATTCACATATGATACAAAAGCATATGCATGGAAATACACGTGTATGATCCATGCTATGGGTGCTGTGTAAATAAAAGGGAATGGGACAATCAGTTACTTTTATTTGGCTCAAAAAATTCTAGATCACTGGAATTCATCACCTTCTGTGAAAGATGCTGATTATTTTGTCTTTCAGGAAGACATCACAGTATCCCAGGCTGTGAGCAAATGTAGAAATGCAGACACTTGAGATGACATTTGAGAGTTTGCAGTGCCTTATGAAGGAGAGGAAAATCCTTTCCCAGGAAAAGGTTGATGCCTGTGAGAAAATATGTTAGTTTACCAGGGAAATTCCAAACAGAAAAATCACTACAAATTTTATAAAATTTCCATGAAATGAGTGAGAACTATTGGGACATATGTGGAGGCACACCTAATAAACAATGTTTAGCCCTGGTTAGTGAGGTTCAGTGGACCAAGTGCCGGCCTGGGAACCAAAGGGTCACTGGTTCAATTCCCAGTCTAGGGCACATGCCTGGGTTGCAGGCCAGGTCGCCAGTGGAAGGGCGCATGAGAGGCAACTACACATCAGTGTTTCTCTCCCTCTTTCTTGCTCCATTCCTCTCTCTAAAGAAAATTAAATAAAATCTTTTTAAAAAGAAATGAGAGAGGTTTATATTGCCTTAAAGCATCTTAAGTCATTAACATTAGAGAATAGGATCAACAAAAGTCAGGAAAGAGGACTGGACCAACCGAGACAATAGGACTGCACAAAGAAAAGGGGACCAAGAGGTGCTGATTGAAAACTGGAGCAAAGATAGGGTGCTTTCAGTAGAGAAAAGGAGTTGAATGTGTGAAGAACAGACAGAGTTGGCACAAAGACTAAGTCAGCAGATAAAAGCATTCTGCAATATAGTAACTGCAGGCCACATGTGGTTATTTAGATGTAAATTAACTAAAATGAAATTAAGTTAAAAATTCAGTTCCTCAGTCATAGCAGCCACTTTGAAATGCTCCACAGGGTTTGTGGCTAACCTGTATATTGCACAGCACAGGGAGAGAACATTTCCACATCTCACAGAGCACTTTGCAATAGCACAGTCCTGAGGACATTAAAATGAGTAGGAAGGAGAAAAAAGCAGAGGAAGAGGTGAAGGAGGAGGGATGGTGATTCAGAATCTCCCTTTCCCATTTCTGCTTGATTTCTCACGTGACAAGTCAAGACAGAGGCTGCTCTGCAACAGTGGGGTCTGCCACACCCCCTCTCACAAAGGTGCTGAAAGGTTGCTGCTTTACCAACACTCTAGGTGTTGGGATCTTTAGAGCAGGGCTTTGAGTTAGGGGTGGAGCCAAGGTTGGTTCTGGATGAAGGGGGCCTGTGCAGACCCTCGTGCCATGCCCAGAATTCAAGGTCAGTAAAACACTCACTTGGCACTCAAAAGCTGCAAGAGTAGGTTCCTTCATCTCTGGTGTCCAGTGAGTCTTCAGTCATTCGTGGTCATGAAATCCTCCTGCTCATATATTGCTCAGCCTAAGTCAGAGGGCAACATCACATTGTATATTGCTCCACTAATAAGACATTTGTTCTGACCATCACCTTTTATTTTACTTATTCATGTCAACCAACTCTAATTATAAGCATTATTATTTAGGGAAAGTAAATATAGGCAGCTTGTCTCTTCCCTCTGAACTCCATGAGGAATAGCATAAATATTCAAACCTCTGCTGAGTAACCTTATTTGTCACATATCTGCAGTGAATTGATAGCATTCTGTAGAAACTCTGATCCTCAGATTATCCTTCCTTTCTAGGACATTTTTACCATCCTTTTGGTCAAAATGAACTTATACAATCCAATGGGTCTTTTGTTCCAGACTGCTATTTCAAATCCCATAGACTTCCTGCCACACACAATATTTATACCTGACATTAACAGGTGAAGAGAACATATCCCAAAAACAATGTCAGCGCTGACTGCCTTGTGGGAGTCACTATTTATTTCATGAACAGGGTTGCTCGGTTTCCCATTTGCATGTGTGGGCAGCCGTCCCCATGTTCTAATTGGCTCACTATACAGGTTCTTGGCTCTGTGCTTGGGAATCGTCACTGACTTTTAACCTGTCTCACCTGAAGAGCAGCTTCTGTGTGTCCATTAGTATTTCAGACAAAGATCCTAATCTTAAAAATTATCAACAGGATTTTAATTGAAGGTTTTGGTTGTTTACTTTTAATCTGACTTAGTGATATTTTCTTTCTTTCTTTTTTTACTGCCCTTGAAAAAGGCATAACTTGAAAGAGAGGAGAAATGTTGAGGACAAAGATAATCATTTAGAACCAAAAATAGGGACTTCCCTGGACTTAGGCTGGTCCCTTAAATGCAGGTGACCTTATGATTGTAAGTATCAGAGTTTTGTTTATATGAACTAATGTTTTTTAAAAATCCTCTCTCTTAACATTAGCAAGTTTTCTGTCTTATAAAGAGCAACTTTGAAGATGTTTAGATATTTCCTATCATGGCCTGAAATGGAAAGTTTATAGTTTTCTACTGTGTCCTGAGTGTCTGGCTATGAGCATGGGCCAGATAATCCTCTTGGAATACTATAAGGTCACATCCAGACTCCACTTGGCTTTTAATATGGGTAGAAGTTAAACAACCTATAAATGGAGCAGAGGGAGAAAAACCCCTATCAATTGCATTATTCTCTATACTCCTGATCATTTTAAATGCCTGCCTGAAAACCCTCTATAAAGGAGTGAATATGACATCTCCTACAGAGAGCTGCCTTTCAGCTGGAAGAAGGGTGTGTCCCTATCTTTTACCTGGGAGCAAGGATGATCTTGTCAAGCATCTTCAAAAGACCAGCCCGAGTTTTTAGGGTGGGGATCTAGACTAGTTATATGTACCATCAGTCCTCCCACAAAGTCAGAAACACCTCAAAGCCTGAATGTAGAACACCTGCTGAGAAGTTGTTTTAATCAGACATCAGCTGATCGGGAGAAAAGAAAAAACAGAAAACAGGCAGCACTCCCCTGGTCCTGGATGTAAGAGCACCCAGCAGCGATGGACTGGCGCTTCGGAATAGCTGCAGTGCTGTTCATTTTTCTGGTAAGTGTGGATTCTGTTAAAAACCCTGCATGATCACTTTTGTTGTCAACAACTGAGAACTTTTTTAAAAACATATATTTTTTAAAATTTTTAAAGTGAGGGGAAGGGAAGGAGAAAGAAGCAGAGAAACATCTGTCCATTGCCTCTCAAAGGTGCTCTGACCCAGGACCAAACACACCACCCAGGCACGTGCTCTGACTGGGAATCCAACCATCAACCTTTTGTGGTCCTGGATGGTACCCAACCACTGATCCACACTGCCCAGGATGACAAAAAATAACTTTTTAGACAATGCCATTTAGTGTTATTTCTAACCTAAACCTATTAAAAACTTATGTTAATGACGATGTGATTTTATGAACAAGATTTTTAAATAGTTTTTCTCTCTTTAATTGAAGACTCAAGATCATATTAATACATCAGTGTCAACTCATCAGATAAAATCTCTGACATCAAAGTCATTGCTATGTCACTTAGGGAAAATATTGAATGTGGGGTAGTTATCTCACTCTTTAATAGCACTTTGTCATTCAAATTCTCTTTTGCAGCTGGGCTTTTAAGGTAATATCACAGACAAGTCCTGACTTTCAACCCAAACATTTTTCATTCTTTTGCTGTCTTTGCAGGATGCATGTAGTGCTGTGCTTCATATTTGTTTCTACTTGCTTAAGTTTTAGCTGGATTGTTGGGTTTCTGTAATAACAAGCTAGATCTTTGACTCAATGTATGCTGGTTAGTTTTAGTTCAATTCATTAATTAAGATGCATCATGACCAGTGGATTTAGTTATAAATGTGCATCAATCAGCTGGCAGCTTTAGAGCCAAGTTGCCCTTTAAACACGAGCTCTATTCCATGGACTTTCTAAGGCACCTTTGGGGCCAATGGATGTCATAACTTGGGATGTGGCAGGGCTAATGAGCATCATGCAGTATGTGTGTGAACAGGGGGGAATTTATTTGTCCATTGTGAAATAATAAAATACTTTCATTTTTAATTTTACATAAGTTTGATCTATTAAGGCCTATTAGAGCTGCAGTTGATTAAAGATTGTTCAGATGCTTATGTACATTCACAAGTCTATAAGATACTTATTTGATTGTTTATGATTGTTTTTAATTAGTTACACCCTATAAAACGTCTTTAAACAGCCACCTTTCAATTAGTCATTCTTCAGTAAGATGTATCATTTTATCAAAATCATGTATCCTTAGCGAACTTTCTTTCTTTGCACAGAAGTTTCTTGGCATTTGTACTTATTTTCTGAGCGGATGGGTATTTTTGTGTGGATAATTTGTTTGTTTGTCTGCCTGTTTGTTTGTTTTGCCATATTTTTCTTTGGAATCAATCACAAGTTTCCCATGTGCCTTATGAATATTATTTCTCAAAGAACTTATTGTATGATGAATTCAAATGTTTCACTTTTATAATATTGTAACATATTTTTATACATTTCAATTTCTAAGATTTGAAAAATCATAATTTATTTTCACTACTGATTTTACCAGATGATTTGTATAAATGTACTTAGGAATTATACTGTCCACTTTTGCTTTAAAATACTTTTTATTCTCAAAATTAACTACCACTATAGAAGACTCTTCCAGTTACCCTTCTATTCGTCTCCCTGAGAATGTTTGCTTTTATAAAAAATGAAAAAAGAAAAGTAAAGAAAGAGAAAGGAAAAACATTTATGCAAAGCCTTTATAGTCTGCTCAAAGTAATAAGTGAAAACCAACAGTAGGGAGCATAGTTGGACAATTTTGAATGTACGTAAGACATTTAAACTGATAGCACCTTTAATACAAATCCATTTGAGAGCTGTCAGCCATCTCTTTGCAAATATGTTGTGTAGTCTGCTCAATATCCTGAAGGTATAGGCCTTGTTCAAATTAGTGGGTTAGAGCTGGGAGAATAAAAATGAAAAATCTACTCCTACAGAGACCAATATCACCACATGATTATTCCATTTCTTAGACAAATCTTTTGGACAGAAAATAGCTTACACCTGTTATAGCACAACAAGCCAAGTAAATGTTATTGATTCTGCATTTATTTTTTGTTTCCATGAAATTATTATATGGGCAAAGTACTGGTATTCTAGGCCAGAGAACAAAATTACCTACACACCAAGCACAAGAAGTCTCTGAGAATGTTTATGACAATGGTATGAGCTGTGTCATGGTTGCTGTGGGAAAGCCAAATGGAACCAATAGAAGTTTTACAGTTCTAATGATTTTTAAAACTTATTTGTAATTTTGTCAGTTCCAATGAGTACAATTAACATACTTTGAAGGTGCTTTTTTTTCTAAAAAGCAAACTTCTGCAGCAAAGAACTCAAATAAATTTATCTTCATCTAATACCAAGAATGATCCAATTTCTTCAGTACATCATACCACCCTAGCTTCTCTTTCCATGGGTAATATTACCTTTCAAAATAAGCCCTGTGACCAACTGATAAACTAAGTCCACATTTTGACTTAGCTAAAATTATTTAGTCTTTAAGCAGGAGTTTACCTGATTATTTCTCAATGCTCAAGCAAAAAGACACAAAAAAATAATACAGTTGTGTGCAAAAACATGTTTACAGTTGTGAATAAGCTAAACACAAAATTTATTCCTGTAGTATTATTTATTATTCTATTATTTATTTGAATTAAGACAATAAACTACGTTGTTCCACTCCTGCATATACTCTATTACATAGTTTATAAACTTATTTTAACTGGACATCTTAAATACCCATAACTGTGTTCACTCCTAGAGACTGACCAGAAGACAGGCAAAAAAGAGGATTCTTTATGATTTCTTGAGCACATAGTATAATGCTATATGTTATAGATATTAGTATTTCAGTAAAATATTTTATATAAAATGAAAGCAATATTTCTGTTCACCTGTGCAGTAAAATTTATAAATTTTATTTAAGCAAAATCATTTCCATTTACATGGGGCTCTTAACTGCATATGTCATGGCACATTTATGACCAGCAACTTCTTTTACCTTTATGAAAATGGACAGTACACAGGTATCATCATTTAATTGGTTTTTGTTTCTGCAGAGCAAGAATACTTTGTCATGCCTGATCTATACTTTAGAAAAACCTAAACCACTAAAAAGTGCTGCCTTGATAAACCTGAATGCTTGGTCCCAAAAAGACAAGACACACTTATTTAACAGGGCTCATGAATCTAGAAAAACAACACTCTTGTCTATACCCAGAGCACTGAATTTCTGATAGCTCTTTCTTCATCATGAATTCTTTAAGGACATCATTGCTGAATACCCCTGTGTCCTAACAGACATTGCCTAACGTGCAAGCAGTAGGCATGCTTGATGATGCAGTTAGGCTCACTCTTCTCCCATCAGTGAGGGAACACCCTTACAGAATTTTGGGTCATCATCTACCCTTGCTGATGATGCTCGGTATGCACGTTCCTTGAATGGATTTAGCAGGTCAAAGTAGTTTAAATGCCATTGGTTGCTGATCCTGCCCTCAACAGGTGTGTGAGAATAGAGCTCAGTCCTTTACACTTGTCTAAGGAAAAGCCACATCCCCACGAATTAATGGCTGTCTGTTGCTCATAAAACTACTTGACTGTAAGTTATTTGATGGCAGGTTGTGTCTGATTCACTTTTGTACATTTCATAGTGTATCACACCAATGCAAGATTGCTCAATATGTGTGTAATCACAGAGTGTAGGCTCAGCAAAAGGCAATTTTTGGAGAGTTTAGATTTCCCTTCCTCTACACACTTCAAAAATTGTCAAGGTATTAAACATGGAAATCATCATGTTGAGTTTCCCTAAGACTTACTTTTATGAGGTACTATTACACTTACCTTACATTTTATCTAAGGCTTACTGTAATATTTTTAGCACTTAAGCCTCTTAAATGTCTTAATCCAGCCTTGGACCCACACAATACACATTCAGTGTATATTTGTCAAATAAATAAATAAAACAATGAACAAATAAGAGAAATCAACCTATCGAGAAATCAACTCCAGATTGATAGCTTTTGTGCAAGTAACAGAAAGAAAACATAAAAGAGAAGTTTTTTTAAATAAGCAAATTATTACATTTTAGCTTTGTCTCAAGTGAATTCTTGTAATATTTATAACAAGTAAATATCTTAGAATTTGATACTAAACAAAAACTGCCAAAGAACTGGAAAACCACCTCAAACTTATTAAATGCAAGAGGTTTTCCTTATAGAAATTATAAATTACTATTTTCAAAACCAATGAAATGCACAGAAATGTAAAACTCAGCATTAAAGGAAAAGAACTAAAAACGAGTATAATTAGAGAATCATTAAAATTGGCATGCAATTTTGTATCCTATGGTTGTTATGTTTTGCTTTTTTAAAAAAAATGTGGAATAGCTTCTAAAATAGAGATGGAGGGAAGAGATATTGAGGACTCACATGAAACATATTATTCATATCGGTCATTTTGGATAAAATAGGCTATTTAGTCTCATATACATATGGGGAAACAGTGGCACAGAATGGCTAAGTGACTTACCCCAATGCCCATATCCAGGGGGCAAGAGCCTGAGAGGTTCGCAGTGCACTTGACTATACTTGTATTTATCTCTAGGTAAATCTTTTTACAGCCTCCACAGAACATATTCCCAACTTATTTTGGAATCCAAACACTCCCCTAATTACCAGAAAACAACCTGACCCTAGAGACAAGGTCTGGGTCATCCAGTGTGAAGTCCTTCAATTTCCCTGTCCTAATCAACTTAATCTCCATCATTTCACTCTTCCTTACCCTGTGTCTTTAAAGCCCTTTCTCTCTGCTGCTTCCCTCCTGCTCATCATATACCTCCAGCAAGTACTTTCTCAACCCCTCCTGTTTCAAATCAAAATCTCCTTTTCTCCTGCCTTCAAAATCCACATCCCCTTTCCCCCAAATATCTCCTTGTACACTTCATCTTATGTACTATCACTTCTGTTTCCTTGTATCACCACATTTCTCAAGAAAGTGGCACCTTACATCCTCTTCTCCTTCATCTTGTCCCCCACTCCTTGTCAGTCAGGAAGAGCCCATTCCATCCAACTGAAAGCATACTTTTCAAAGTTACAGAAAAGCTCAGAGGTCCTCAGGATTCACCCTGTTCAACTTTTGTATATCATCTGACACTTGTTCAAAGCCTGTCTGTCTTTCAGTTCTTCTTCTTTAGACACCCATGACATTGCATTTTATTTCCCTCCTATTTCTTTGGCCACTTCTTTTCCCTCTTTTGTTGTTTCTTGTTTATTGTCATGGTTTCCAGTTACATAAATGCGGGAATTCCCCTGGTGTCATCCTCAGCCATGGGCTATTTCTTTCCTGTGTTCTCTATTTCAGGGATTTCAAATTCTCCCATGATTCCAACCATTCTGCCTGAGCTGGTGTCCCTCAAATCAGGCCTAAATTAAATATTTCTTCATGGTGCTGACACACATTTCAAATTCCCAGACATCTTTACCAAGCATTGTTCTGGCATCCCAAACTGGTTATGTTCTAACCTACTAAATTGTGCTTCTGCCTTGCTCCTGATCTCCTAGTTTATAAGTGCAATGGTCTCAGATTCTCCCTCTCATTACACCCACACACCACTTGTTCTCAAACCTGTCAATTTCAACCCAGTTGTATCTTCCCGTGGATCTTTCCCAGTCTCATCTCTGGGCTGAGTTGATGGAGAAATTCAACTGCTGGTTGCCTGTAATTGCTGCCTCTTCCCACAACCTCCATCAATTATTGTCAGAGTCTTCTTTTAAGTCAACAATTTGTCATGTCTTAACCATGATCAAGAAACTCCAATACACTATTTCTCTATTGCACACAAGGATTTGATGTTAGAATTTGAAAAGTAACTGTATGTAATCTAGTCAACATCTGTCATTTTTTGAATGAGAAAAATAAAACTCAGAGAATTTAGCAAGTACATTATAAGTTTTCTGACTCTACTTAATGTTCTTTTTACCTCATTATTTTACCTTTAATAGTCAAAGAGTAACTTTGTTTCAGAGTTTATTTTACACTCTGAGCAAAAGGCAATATGGATATGTCAGCATAACATATTTTTAAGAAGACCTGGCAGTTTTTTAATTGCTATTCCAATTGAGAGCCTGACTATACAGTGAAACCTACTTGGTCGTCTGCCTATGTTGCCTCTCATGGCAAAAAGAATGACCCAGTTTCATAAAGTGAGAAGGTTAGTGGCCTCTGGCATGGTTCTGCAAAACAAACAGTGGCGCTGACACTTCAGTGTGGTGAGGGAAGTGCAAGAGAGAGAAGAGATGAATACACAACCTTGTAGCAGTGAAGAATAGGCTTCCAAACACACAAATGAGGTCTCCCCACACCCACCTCCAACACCCACAAATGAGAGGAGTAAGTCTCCATGAGTTCAAGGTAGCAAGAAGCACACAGGTGAACTAACATCATTTCAACTCTACACCCAAGTGGGATTCAGGACTCTACAATAACATTTTGGTTACTTATCCCAACTGTTTGGGTCATTTGTATGTCTTCCTCCCCCTTTCCCCCAGTATGACTATTATTGTTGTTGTTGTTATTATATGTAAGCATTCTGAATCACAAGGACAATATGAGATTAAATTAAAATCCAAATTTATTTTTTGAATTCTCAAAATGGTAATGTCAGTTTCCTGCACTGTATTTTATTTAGTAATTTATATAAAATAGGCTAGTTGTACTTGATTGTTAAACTCATGTCTCAAGCTCATTTAGGCTGAATTATATTGGATTGTATTTAGTGATTAATATCTAAAATTCAATTTCCTCATCTGTAAAATTATTATAACTATAGTGTTGACCAAATGTATTTGTGAAGATTAAATGCATGGATTTCTCTAAACACGTTTTATACTACCTAGTTATCATTTAGTGAATTGTAATGGTGATACTGATTAACATCAAATATATACCATGAGTATATGACTCCCATATAAAAATATTATCTATTTAAAATACTCGTACTAATCATAAATATAAATTTTCTTGAATTATCAATTATGGTGATTTAAAAAATGTGCTTACACTTTAAAATTTATTTTAATGGCAAAATTAAAACTCACTATAAAAGATATTTACTATATTTGGATATTACTGTTATTAGTACTTTATTAAATGCAAACCATAATTTTATTTTCTCACTAATATAGATAAAGCTTATGTATAATAACAGTTTTCATACTTTGTAATTCTAAAAAACTCAAGTGTCAATGTTAAAAATGTCTTATTTAGGGAGAAATAAGAATTAAAAAGTTACATTATACCTATTAATTCTAAGTGCAATTTAAAACAATATACACAACCTAACTTTCAAATCCACACCTGTTTTAGATAGATATTTTACAATGTCTTAAGTATGCTGATCTATTAAACTTCATACGTAAGTGTTTGTGTTTTTAGAATTATCTTTGGTTTTTAGAGGAAAATAAGTCAAATTAACCAGATTTAACACTACAAATCATATGTAAAGTCAAAGCCAGAGCTGAGCTGAAAGTAGGCAGAGCTATGCTTGATGAGCTCACTTATTTAATGCAAGAGAAAAAACTAACGGAAGTTGCTTACCCAGCATTCAGTCCCCGCACTCTGAAATGTCTTCTCCTTGCTTTGGAAGGAAGAATTCATATCATCAACTTTGTTTAGTATGAACAATGAAACATCAAATATAAACTCATTTTAACATAGCAAAAAATGTTTTTTAATCATATTGTATTTTTCCATTGCAATGAAAAAATATTTGTATTCATCTTAGAACTTTATATTCTCATATTTCAAAGCAAGTGAAAAATTTATCATCTTAAGATATTTAAGAGTAATATAAAATCATCCATTTAGAATTAGAATGTGAAGAAGCAAATATTTTGATGCTTTCTGGACAGTCTTTGCTTTGTATTCTTTCTTCATCCCAAAACATATTTTTCTATATTTCCATCTGAGTCTACTCAAGGGCTAAAACTACAGTCAAAAGTTTTAGTGTTATAACTTATTGCTGAATTTCACTAAAGATCTCCAGCTCTTCAGACACAGGATTTATTAAGAGAACCTGATTTTCCAACTCTCATCCCCACTGGGTTCAACCTTCAAATGTCTTAGCTCATAAGATTACCAGTATCTTAAACAAGTTAAAGTAATAAAAAGAAGAGCAAAATTGAGAAGTATAAACTAAAAGAAAAGGAATCATTGACATCATTATCAGACCTGAGAGACAAACCAGGTCTGCCTGCTATCTAGGCTGAGAAAATAATTTTAATGATTCAGATTGTTTGATTTTTTAATAATTTGTTAAAATAAATTATAAAGCACTTATTTAAAAATTAAATATTGTGTTTATCATATTTTTATAGGTGGTGGTGGAAGTTAACAGTGAATTTCGAATCCAGGTAATACATAAATTGAATTTTTCAATTTAAAAACAGAAAAAATGGTTTGGGAGTAACAACATATCCCTGCCCCCTGCCCCAAATAAAATTCATCCTTATAAGTAAAGTTAATGTTATGCTGAAATTAATAAAGTTTTGAAATTCCCAATCTTCCCAAGTAAGCATCCTTTCTGGCATTTCAATTACTCCTCCTACCAATTCTTTAATGGAATGTGAATTATGAATAGAAGCTAATAGATACCACTATTTAACCTGCCCATTCAAGGTAAGGGATTATAACACTAAAAATGGCACCATCAAGTGGCATACAATCAGAAGGCAAAAACGTGAATGGATCAAGTTTGCTGCAGCCTGTCGTGAAGGAGAAGACAACTCAAAGAGGAACCCAATAGCCAAGGTAAGTCTCAACCCCAAAACACAAAATCAAACATCAAGTGGATGAAGTTAAAGTTTCAAAGAACCTGTCTTTCAAATATTTTATGAATGTATCTCAATGAGAAGTTATGATATAAAACAGAACAATACTCATTCAGGTTATGGAAACTGAAGCCACTGAAACCATGAGAAGGATAAATTAAAATTTTTAGGCACTCATGTAGACAGTTAAACACTGACTCCCCTTACTGGTGAAATTAATACATATGATCACATGTTATCCTAAACTCTAGATTTTAAAATTATAGTGATTTAGTAATGAATTTACTACTCAGCACATTTAGAGGAACTCTTTCAGTGCATGCTCTTTCTGCCTCCTAATCTATTAGAATTAAATTCCTACTTTTGATTTATTTATGAGGATTCACAATGTACTGTCATTTGTAATCTTTTTCCTTTCACTTTCCTTTGTCTTTGTAAAGAACATACACATGTGCACACTCAGAAACACATCCTCATGCACTGTTTCCCTCATAATACAAAAATATATACATATATATACACGCACACTGACACACATTCAAACATATCACACAATATACATAAGAGACACTCCCCATACAATAATTTATTTCAGATACAACTGTCCTGGTTTCTATAACCATATATTTAAAGTTGTCTCCTTATTTTCCTGCTAAAACATCCTCCCCATTTCCAGAATTCAGAGCTGTCTGGAAATATACACAGTCTTTTCTTACCTACATAAATCCACCCCAATCTTCTTCCTAACCACATTTAAAAAGTATTTTTTGAATTGGAAGATCAAAGTTAGGTAGTAACGACACTGGTCAACTCCTTAGGATGGCATGGACAGCCCTGCTCCAGACCTAGTGCTAGCAGAACCTGAGAATAATATGATCAAATTGTAAATGTTGAATGAATGATGAATGAATACATATATGATGACTGCATAGAATTAGATGTATTAGGGTGATATTTTACTTTTTTATTATTTGGTAGAAATATAAATTGAATTTTCTCTTACATTTACAGTTATCATTGAAAATCTCAAACTGTAACTATTCCACTTATCTAGTAAAATAATTCTCTACCTTCAGAATTTCCCCCCAAAATAACAGGGACAGAACACTCAGCACTTGTCAAAAAAGACACCAATTATATATCAAATATAACAGACTTATTTTGCATCCTGTAGTATTTTCAAATGTGCTCTTTCTGCAGATCCATTCAGACTGTGCGGCCAACCAGCAAGTTACATACCACATCTCTGGAGTAGGAATTGATCAACCACCTTATGGAATCTTTCGTTGTTAATCAAAAAACTGGTGAAATTAACATAACGTCCATAGTTGATCGAGAAGTCACTCCATTTTTCATTGTAAGTGGATGCAGTGTCAATATACAAGTATATGTTCAGGCCTAAATTACGTTGGGATTATCTCAAGCTCAGCTCATGCTTCACTTCATTTCAAGAGTGTCAGTATAGGTGTTTTTGGTTGTCTCTTAATTCATGCACAGCTGTGACCCAGGCACACACAGAGAGCACTGAGTGGCAGGTGAGTGTTTTGCTTCAGTGCCTTAGCAAAAATGCTAACCTGTGGTCTGGCCCCAGTGGCAGGCTAGAGCATTTGTGTGGAAGGGCAAGCACTCAACCTTTACTTCGTTTTCTTTAATCCAGTTGAGAATGTTGGTCTCTGATAACCCCAATGTCAAGTGATGATTCTATAGCTACTACAGGAGCCTTCTCTGAGTAAACGCACTTGAGTACAGACACACATTGCTCAAGCTCACCTGAGCATAGGATGTTCCTTGGAAAGACTTAGTTCCTCTTTAACAGAATCTTCCTCTATCCCTTACAGCAGCTGTGACAAAGCTTAAGTGCTTACTCTTTGAACCCTTAACTTCATTCCTATTTTAAGCAGCTGACCTCATGTCAAACTCATTAAAAAATCTGAGTCCTCCTACAATTAACTCTTACAAACCAACAAACTCCAACAATTAATTCTCTCCACCTGCTCAGAAGTGTTCTACATTAAGTACAAAAGCAAGATGAATTTTCTGTTTTTAAAATATATCTCGAGATCTTCTATTGTCTCATAATCATCTGGTATTGAAGAATCTTATTCTATTAACTTTGACTTTTCGTGCTTCTTCTGTCTACTCTGTAGGTTGCTTCCATCATGGTTCACACTTATTAATACTTAAAATTGAAAATTTAAAATTAAACCTTCCTCAGTCTAGTAACCTCTTCTATTAAAACCTCGTCAATCCATCTCCAAAAATGCCTTCAGATAGTAATCTATGCTTGTTGCTTTCACTCATACCACTTGTCTGTATTCCTAAGACTACTTTAATTCTTTAAGTCTTCTATTCTAAATTAATATTCCTCCCTTGTTTTCCACAATGTTTTCCCAAACACTCAAAATCTGCATGCCAGCCTATTAGCTGTTGTTAAAGTACAGTGTTTCTATATGAAACATACCAAATAGGTTAAATCATATACATTATACTTTTGTACATACCTAATGTATCAATAATAATGATAATATAAGCACCCATATAGCCACCACCTAGCTATGAGTGCTGTTTCTTTGAAGCCCCCATGTGACTCTCTTTTACCACACCCTGAACCCCATTCCTCCCTATTCCTAAATTCAAACACTGCATTTGCATCACTTTGTTTATTTCCTTGCATGAATCCCTTGGCTTGGAACAACCTGCCAATTCCCAGCTCCACCTGCGGAAGTTCTCTTTTAAGATCTATCTCAGTCATTGCATCCTCCCACGATATCATAGTGTTTTTGTTCTTCTTTTTATGGGTGATCATGTTACCTTTCCTCAAATGGTCTTTTGAGTTCATGTTTGCCTCCCCTTATTGGTTATAAGTACTGCCTGTGCTTACACTTCAGTAGGAAACAAAGTCTTATTTTTCTTTTAGCTCTACATAGCCCAGCATAGTGTTCAAACAAAGTAAAAACTTAATATTTGTTGAATCACATAATTCTTCTTCTTCTTTTTTTCCACTAGATTTACTGCCGGGCTGTAAATGCTCAGGGCCAAGATTTGGAGAGAATTCTTGAGCTCCGAGTTAGGATTTTGGATATAAATGACAACCCTCCCGTGTTTTCTATGTCTACTTTCCTAGGACAAATAGAAGAAAACTCTAATGCAAGTAAGTAATCAACTTTATTAAATACACAAGAGTATATTGGCTTCCAGATGATTCTAAACAGCCAGTCAACTTGAGGCTAAATGATGTCAATGTGCACAGCACAGATGTAACAGGTAATTGTAGAAAACCGTGCAGAAGACAGAGGCATGAGGAAATCTCCATAAAGGCTGTCCCTTCAAGGGCAGAAGGAGCTCCAATCTGTCATACACCAGGAGGGACTCCAAAGTAATGAAAACTGTTTTCTCACGTAATTCACATATAAGCTGTGCCCTAGATTCCTAAGGAAAAATTCTTAAAGGGCTTTGCACAGTGTTGGCAGGGCCCCTGGAAAGAGAATTCAGCCTCCCAGCCTGACTGTTTTGAAGGGCAATATCATCCACTTTTATTCATACTGTTTATTTTTTAATCTTTGTTTTAAAAAAATAACTTTTAAAATCACCCATAGAAATCACTTCCAGGCAATCTCTTGTGTGGCTGTAATCTTCTAGAGCATTTTTGACAGCCAATAAATGCAAAATAAGTATTGTTTTTTCTTCTTCTATGTGATTATAAGTGTGTGTGTCTCCGTGTTTTGATGGCTTTTTACTCAAGTTACTGTTTTTATGCATTTAAAATGTATTATAAACTGAATCCTGTTTGGCCCACCTTGCACATTTAAAGCCAAATGTCTCAAGTGGTGCAAGTTGAGGGGCACCAGAAAAGCTGTACCTACACAGAGCGTCCACCTGCAAGAGCTGTGACCATCCAAAGGTGGGGTGGTCACTGTAAATGGCCACTCCTTGTAGATCACTGTAAATGGCAACATTTTAACTGCCAAATATTCAGACCCTTGGAAGGAACAGTATATCAACTGCTTAGCACACTACTGAAAATTGGGCTACACATATGGAAAAGAGCAGAGATCATTTTCATTTGAATTCAAAACTTAACATACCATAGTTACTTTTAAACTTTATGTGGTATAACTGCTTATGAATTTTAAAAATCCTTATATTTTACTTTATGCATTAAAATATCTCTATAGTGTAAACTATTAAAAATACCATTTTAAAATGTTTTTTGAACACATTCACACAACATGGAAAGTAAAAATGGAATGGAAATTTGACTTTTTTCTCTTTTCTAGTAAGTGCTACCATTAGTTGCTTAGGTATGTATGTTCTATAATTATGTAAATATATAGAGACATGTTTTTGGAAACTTTTTTACCTATTAATACACAGTACAAACTTTTTAATACATATTTTGAACATATTTCCATGTTAAGAAATATAGATTTCTTCAATCTTTTTGACAAGTTGCCTCAGATTCATTGTATAAATGTAGCACAATTAATTGCCTTTTGATATATTTTTTAAATGATGCCGAAACAAATACACACAGAGATTGAGAGAGGGAGATGGGAGATACGTTAGTCATTTTTGTCTGTAAGACACTGATTGTGTATCAAACAGCTGGAGTGTAGAAAAGAATTCTGGTTTATGAACACTGGCAACTTTTCACACTCTCTGGTGTCCTTCATCAAAACTGCTTGTAGGATTAAAGGTCAAGATAAGGGATAGGACAAAGTGTGTAGTTAAACAAGCTTCTCTTTAAAACTGCTAGTTACCTAGCACTAAACTAGGGACCATCCAAAAGAAAACAATAATATACATTTACTGAATATGCATTATTCAGTAGGAACGTTATATGATTTTCTCTCATTAAACTACCTAATCCTTTCATGATTTCAGTGAGGATTGTCCTGTTATCATATCCACATTTGCAGATAAGGAGACTGAGGCCAAGACCCTATAGCTAGAAAGAGCTATATAGTTGACAAACTTTGGTCTGGCCATAATATCATTTTGTTTCACTATAACAATAAAAAAAAAGGCATCATACTAGAATAAGAAATGGAAAGGCAGAATAAAACATTTCTTTGTTTTCTATCAGCAATACCTAGGTTCTTGGTAAAATGGGCTTTTTTGTTAATGCAAAGGTATAAAAAGGAGCTAATATATGAATATATTGAAGTAAAAAGGAAAAGAGGTAGCTATAACAAAAATGCAAACTGTTCATTTACAATTAATTTTTCTTGATCTTTAGATACACTGGTGATGAAACTCAATGCTACTGATGCAGATGAACCCAATAATTTGAACTCAAAAATAGCTTTCAAGATCATAAGCCAGGAACCTTCTGATTCACCCATGTTTATTATCAACAGATACACTGGAGAAATTCGAACAATGAATAATTTTCTAGACAGAGAGGTAATTTCTCCTTTTCTATTTTTTTTTATTTTTTGAAGATTTTATTTATTTATTTTTAGAGAGAGGGGAAAGGAGGGAGAAAGAAAGGGAGAAAAACATCAATGTGTGGTTGCCTCTCACATGTCCCCTGCTGGGGACTTGGCCCACAACCCAGGCATGTGCCCTGACTGGGAATCGAACTGGCAACCCTTTGGTTCACAGGCTGGCACTCAGCCCATTGAGGCACACCAGCCAGGACATAATTTCTTTTTTTTTAAATATGAATTGTTCATTGATTGAAACCAATTCTAAAAGAAAAAGTACCTAAGAAAGAAAAAAATTATATTTAAAATTTTTAATTACCTAATCCTTTTACATAATGGTAAGGACATTAAAAACTCTTTAAGATGAAAATATAGGGATCTCTCACATACATTTTATACTGTCATTTTTTCATATAACCTTACTTAGGATTGGCCTCAAATTGAGAAAACTCTATTTTGAGAGTGTATAAAATATGTTAACTAGAATCAAAAGCTTGGCTTATTCATGCATGTGAATGTGATCAAGGCTGCAGAATTTTTACAGGCTAAGAAACTGGTTTATGTTCCTTTAACACCACAGGGTATTGTAAGCTCATTTGACAACAGAATTTTTTTTCTCTTCTTATGTCACACCTACTGACAGCCTATTGATTACTCTGGGAAATGAATCACAGGAACAGAATAATGAATAGAAATTAAGCAACATCCAGATCAATGTTTCATTTACAAATAAGAAAAAAAAATAGTGATTGTTTTCAAATTAGAATCAGCATTACGTGGTTTCTATTATGCCATGTTGTCCTATCACTTAAAGTAAAAATATCAACTTTCATTATTTTTCAATATTATAATACAGCTGACCTGTATATACTATAGGGATATAAATAAGGAGTTTTATTTTCTAATTAATACTCAATATATGTTGTTTAAATCATTATAGTTATTTAAAAATGACAATCTCTTGTTAATGACCTAGAAGTCTAGCATAAATTTTTACACTCTTTAATTATCCAAATGCCATCAGTTTCTCGGTTACCTATATCTCTGTTTATAATTGTTTGAAATTACAGTCAGAAGAAATGGACTCTTTAGGTGTTTCTCAAACTTTCCTAACCCAATGAAAGTCCTTCAATGTCGAAAGAATTTTAGCAGCGAAGTGCTCTAAACAGTGAAGGAACTTTGAGGTCACTGTGCACCACCATAGCCGATATTCTTAACCTGGGGTCCAGGGAGACACTTCAAAATGTCTCTAACTATGAATCTTCTACAGTTATATGACAATTTTGAATGAGAATGCAGTTACAAATGTGTCTAGAAAAGGAGTCAAAACTTGTGCAGCTTCTAATAATTTAAGTACCATTGAGCAGAATCAAGACAGATCATCAGTAATTTCACTGCCAGAACCTGCCTCCCCCACCATCCAAGAAAAGCAAACCATTTGTTATCTCTTTATTCCTCCACACTCGGGGGCTGGTTATCAAAGGTATGGAATTCTTAAGCCCAAAATCTTGATAAAACTCAATCTCTCTTCTCCTGATACTTTTGACCCACTTTACCCTTTATAAACATTTTCAAATTCTGAGCATAGAATAAGGAATGAGGTCTTTAAGAAATGTTGCTTTTATAAAATGAGGCTGGATAAATATTTGGGGAACTAGACGTGGCAACTTTCAAGTTGATTCATGTGAGGTTTGTGAATTGTCAATAATCTGTGTTACCCTCATCACCACCATAGATTTATGTAACTGTTGAGCCAACAGTTTAAAAGAACTCTGCATGAGACAGAATAAGGACTGTCTGTGTCAACTGCTCTGTGGTTTGTGTTTCAGCAATATGGCCAATATTCTCTCTCTGTAAGAGGCTCGGACCGAGATGGTGGGGCAGATGGCATGTCAGCAGAGTGTGAATGCAGCATTAAAATCCTCGATGTCAACGACAACATCCCATACATGGAATTGCCTTCAGTAAGTATTTGTCTTTGAAATTAATAATTTTTCACTCACCACACTTTAACATTTGTTGGAACAATCTTATTTGCAGATGTATATTCATCCTTAGTCACACACAACCCAGATGTAGACCTGTACTTTGTCCAGGATGTTTATATAAGGCCAAGGGAGAACACATTTGAACAATGAAAAGTCTGACTATAAATGCAGATCTTTTTTCTAAATAATGATTAATGATAAACATTTAATACAAGTCTAGCATAGTTCTCTGATTCACATAGTTCATATTAAGTTTTTTTCTTCTTGTTTCAGTATTCTATAAGTATTGAAGAAAATGCTCTGTATTCAGAATTGCTCCACATTAGAGTCATTGATTTGGATGAGCAGTACTCAGCTAACTGGATGGCAGTAATTTTCTTTATCTCTGGAAATGAGGGAAATTGGTTTGACATAGAAATGAATGAACTAACAAATGTGGGAATTTTAAAGGTTATTAAGGTATGGTATCATTATCTAAATATTTTGTTCTCCTTGTCTTATTGCAAATGTTAATCTTAAAATTAAATTTTAAGATTTACAAACTTGAGTGTGTGAAAGAATAAAAATTCCTGTTTTAGAATAGTATATGAAATAGAGCTATTACATAGAAATTTTTCTGTTTATATAATCATGAAAACCAGTATTGAATTTTTAACTCGAAACACTTCTTTTTATTTTGGCATTTCTTTTTTTAAATTATTGTTCAGTTACAGTTGCCTGCCTTTTTCCCCATTGCTCTACCCTGCCCCATCCCTTCCACTCCCACAGTTGATGCCCCCTATTAGTCCTCTATTTATGTCCACTTCTATCAATACAGTACTCCATCACAAGTCATATCAATTGAAAGAATTTTCAAACATGAAACTTATTTAGTGCTTACAACAAAGTATGATCAATCATGAAGGTGTTGTTTTAGAATATTTAGGAAAGTATTTTTAAGTATATTTTATTGATTATGCTATTACAGTTGTCCCATTATTTCACTTCCCCTTGATGCCCTTTGCCCTGGTCCATGGGTTGTACATATAAGTTCTTTGGCTTCTCCACTTCCCATACTATTCTTAACCTCCCTGTGTCTATTTTATACCTACTATTTATGCTTCTTATTCCCCATACCTTTCCCCCCATTCTCCCTCCTCCCCCTACCCACTGATAATCCTCCATGTGATCTCCATTTCTGTGATTCTATTCCTATTCTAGTTGTTTACTTAGTTCATTTTTGTTTTGGTTTTGATTTTTTTTTGGTTCAGTTGTTTATAGTTGTGAGTTTGTTGTCATTTTACTGTTTGAATTTTTGATATTCTTTTTTTTCTTAGATAAGTCCCTGCAGTATTTCATGTAATAAGGGCTTGGTGATGATGAACTCCTTTAACATGACCTTATCTGGGGAGCACTTTATCTGCCCTCCCATTCTAAATGATAGCTTTGCTGAATGATCTATGTTGTATAGGTCCTTGCTTTTCATCACTTTGGATATTTCTTTCCAGCCCCTTCTTGCTTGCAAGGTTTCTTTGGAGAAATCAGCTGATGGTTTTGTGGAAATACCTTTGTAGGTAACTGTCTCCTTTTCTCTTGCTGCTTTTAAGATTCTCTCCTTATCTTTAGCCTTGGGTAATATAATTATGATATGCCTTGGTGTCTTCCTCCTTGGGTCCAATTTCTTTGGGACTTTGAGCTTCTGGGACCTCCTGGAAATCTATTTTCTTTGCCAGATTGGGGAAGTTTTCCTTCCTTATGTTTTCAATTTCTTGCTCTTCCTCTTCTCCTTCTGGAACCCCTATCATTCAGACATTGGAACATCTAACGTTGTCCCGGAAGTTCCTAATCCTCTTCTAATTTTTTTGAATTCTTGTTTCTTCATTCTGTTCCAGTTGAATATTTCTTTCTTCCTTCTCTTCCAAATCTTTGATGTAAGTCCTGGTTTCCTTCCCTTCACTGTTTGTTCCCTGTATATTATTCTTTATTTCACCTCACATACCCTTTACTTTTGCCTCTATTTTGCCACCATATTCAATCATTTTTGTGAGCATCCTGATTACCAGTGTTTTGAACTCTGCATTTGATATGTTGTCTATCTTCTTGTCACTGAGTTATTTTCTGGAGTTTTTATCTGTTCTTTCATTTGGGCCATATTTCTTTGTTTTGGAGCAACAGATACCTTGCAAGGGGTGGATCCTTGGGTAATTATTAGAGCTGGGCAAACCACTTCTCTGCATTGTGGTGCTGTGCATGGAGGAGGGGACAGAGAGGAAACAATGCCACTTGCTTTGCTCTCTCCCTCCCTTCAGTCACTTCCCTCACTTCCCACAAGTAGATTGTGTACTTTCAGGTGCTGATTCCTGGGTGGGTGGGCTTGTTCATTTTAGGATCTTGTGGGCCCCTATAATGGACTCTCCTGTGAGACTGAGAGTTTCTCCAGCTGCTGCAATCCCCACAGATTTTTACAGCCAGATGTTTTGAGGCTTTGGTTTCTAACATTGGAAACTTGAGTTGCTCGATCTGTCTCACTCTCCAGTTTTCCTCCTGGCTTATCTGCACTCGAATGTGGGAATCCTGGTCTGCCAGCCACCTTGCCCCGTGTTCTCACCATACTAGCTTCCCATTTCTGCCTCCTACCACTCTGTATGAATGTTTCTTTAACTCCTTGGTTGTTGAACTTCCATACAGTTTGATTTTCTAGCAGTTCTTGTTTTTTGTTTTTAAATAGTTTCTTATCTTTCTTTTAGTTGTGTGATGGAGCAAAGTGTGTCTACCTATGCCTCCATCTTGGCTGGGAGTCCTCAGAAAAATATTTTTAAATCAGATTTAACATAGCCTTTAAAAATAATTGTCCATGTCAACATTATGTGACAATTATTACACTCTAAGGATGTTCATCACATAAATTAAGAGTTCTTAATTCCTCCAGTGTCTCTTTATGAAATTAATATTCAATAGCTGTAACTGCAGAATCACATTCCCATCTCATTGTGGCTGCTGACCAAAGTTTCCTATGACATAAATGCACTAGAGATTTGGTCCAAGTCCCTAGAGCTCTCCTGTGTCCCTCTCACACTAGTGATGCACCACATCCCCCTGCAGTAGAATTTCCTCTGAGAGATGAGGGGCAATGTCGGACTCCTAGGGAGCTGGTAGTGAAAGCTTCACCGTGTGCTGCAAGACCTACCCAGTCTGTGTGAAAATTCGTGAAAGCTGTACTTGGACTGTATGTGGTGCATGCACTGTGGATCTTCATAGTAAAATGTAATTCCTTTTCCACTATTTCCTTCCTTCAGAATAGTCCTCAGAAACAGACTGCTAAGGAATTCGGTCCTCCTAGCAGTATGTGATCACTTGTTTCATGTCTTCATAAAGTGTCACCATGTCTATAGCTTCCATTTAGTGAGGCCATGAGCAGAGGCTTTAGGCTGTTCCTCACAGCATCCCTGTGATAGATGATATGCCCACATCACAGATAAACGCATTGAGGTTCAGCAAGAGCAGGCAACCTGCTCGAGTTCTCATCACTAGTGAGTGATAGGGCTGACCCTTAAACCTACATCTCTCTGGCTATTGAGTACATTCTTTCCACTACACTACCTGGGATTCCATGCTGGGAAAACTGAGTCCCAAACTGTTTTATATGAAACTACTATAACACTTTAGAAAGTTAATCTCTTCTCAGTACCTCTATGTGTAAAATGGGAATGATTTTGAATTTTCTCCCAGACATGATATCATATATTTTCTTTTTAATGACTAAATACTATATATAATATATATTTGTTTCTGTGTAATGTACATGTATACATAATTTTATAGCCATTCTTGGAACAGCAATATAGCCAATATTAGAGCAAAGACTAAATATTTTCACTAAGTGAAGAGTTCAGTTTGTGAATAAATGGTCATCTAAGTTACTCTCTTCTGAAAATTTAGAAAAATATATTTGGCATAATGTATAGTCAGAGCATTTTATGAGAAGCTGATATTGAAATCACCTTTTATAATAAAAATGACTACTTGATTATTTCATAAGATGAAATAATTTTTCCAGAATATCTTGAAAATATAAGCATTTCTTCATATATATATGATATATATATATATGTGCTACATTCTAACACCAGACTTATAGCAAGAAGTCACACTTATAGAACTAAAATTCCTCTAAATTGTTCTTCATGGATAAAGCAGTCAAATGATGGAAACTACAATGTGTCCTTCCATAATTTGTGTATATAGAACTACTTTCTGAATGATATGAAGTGATACAAGCTGACATAAACTGTCTTTGCACTACAAAATGCAAGGATTGACCATCTATATTAACTTTTTAATTTGGTGGACAATTAGGACTCATGTCATAGATTGTCAATTTTTGCAACAAAGGATCTAAGACAACTGGATTTTTTCTTACTATGTATATTTTATGTGTTTGTACTGAATTAAAGATAAAGAAAGAATACATTGTATGTTTCTATGTATCTATATTTAACTTAAAAAGAAGCCCAAAGTTTTCTTTGCTTATTATCAAAGGCTTTCTTTCCCTTATAGAATTTTTTCCTTCTTATAGTAAAACTATTTCACTCTGTATTTTCCAGCCCTTAGATTATGAAGCTGTGAAGAATCTTCAACTTAGTATGGGTGTTAGAAATAAAGCTGAATTTCATCATTCCATTATGTCCCAATATAAGCTCACAGCGACTGCAATCTCGGTGACTGTGTTCAATGTAATTGAAGGCCCAGTGTTCCATCCAGGTTCAAAGACATATGTAGTAACTAGTAACATGGGACAAAATTATAAAGTGGGAGACTTTGTAGCTACTGATCTGGACACTGGTGGACCATCAACAACTGTTAGGTAAGACTAACATTTTCGACTAATTTTCATCACATACTGAATTAAATACATATGTTCTTTTAAGAAATGTTAAGTATGAATTAAAATATTTTTCATTATTTAGAAACCATCATCTAATAATAAAAAGCACTAGCCACTGAATTATCACTTAATTTAGAATGTTTAAGAACATATAAAAATTGGTGCAAAGTGCAAGATGTAAAGTGTGAAGCTATAAATTGTGGAGATATTATATCTTTAGAGTTTGACGCTCCTGTGTTTATACATTTTATTGACCAATTAGCTGACTACCACATATCAAGGTTATTTACCCTGGAAGATTGCATGGACTGATGTTCCCATCGCCTATTTGCCCAAATTGAAATCCATTAGATCTAGTTACTCTCTTTGCTTTAATCAGCACTTAGTTGGTATTGGCCTTTGGTAACTTTGGTATGAAAAATGAGGTAGGTTAAGGAAAAGTCATTTGATATAATTTTTTTAATTTTGTAAATCAAAATATTTCTACTTGATCATACAAATCTGTGTGACTACGTGCACACATGTTTTACACAAGTGCTTGTGATCAAGAATCACAGTGGGGGAAAGGCCTCACTAATGAGTTTTGCAAGGTCTTTCTCTGTGCGCTTCCCACACCTGCGAGCACCTCTGTTAGCGCTCTCAGCACAAGGTGCCCCCACTGCTGGTAAGGTCCTCACACCCTGTGAGTTCACTGAGGGCAGATCACCACCAAGCCCCACCCCTGGGTCCTCTTACAGCCCTATTCCCTGAGTTTGGCACAACACCTGAGACAGAGAGTTACTAACCAGTATTTCTTTAACAAATGTAAATGAGGGGGAAAGACATGGAAGTGGAAGATGAGGAAGAGAGAAAAGAGAATAGAGAATAGGACAGAAGCACAAGGAAAGGACATTCCTTGTAGTTTGGAATTCAAAAGAAGTCCCATGAAGTCATTGTGTGTATGGAGAGGGGGAGTGGAAATAGGGAGGCCAAGGTAATGATGAAGTAATTTCTTTGTTAAGAGAACACTTAGGAATTATTAATGAGCTGGGGAAGTCCTAGGATCCGGGTCTTCCAGGCTAGTTCTGATGGTACCAAAATCAAATGAAATGAGATTGCAAGTATCAAAGGAAAATTCTGACATACAAGTGGGCATAAGAGACATTCCACTAGAAATGGCTGCTCAGAAACTCTTAAGTTTACATCTTGGTCTGTTTCTGAGTGTCCTCAAACACTTGGAACTGCCTGAAAAAAAAAAAAACACATTGTCTCTAACAACTGAAAAGTACATGCAGGGATCGTAACTACTGACGCACTGATTGGAAACATTTTATAACCAAACATTTTATAAACAACATCTCTTTCTCTCTCTCTCTCCTCTCTCTCTCTCCTGTTAGAGAGCTGACATTAATTTGTACTGTTATCTTTCAAATACAGATATGTAATGGGAAATAATCCCGCTGAGCTGCTTGCTGTTGACTCAAAGACGGGCATAATTACTTTGAGAAATAAAGTTACCTGGGATCAATATAATATGCTTAATGGAAAATATGAAGGAACAGTTCTGTCTATAGATGGTAAGAGATTAATTTGTTTTTTTTCCTTCTTCATGAACTTATATACATACACTGAACTCAAATTTTAATCATTATAATCATTACCTCAAATCATTGTACTTTGAGGTAATTTAATGTTTTTTCCAACAAAACTTATTATATTGGGTAGTATAGAATCAAATCTTTAATGATATGAAAAGCAGTACAATTTAGTGGATAAGACCATGAGCTCTGCAGTGAGACTAGATTGGCATCTTTGTGCCATCACTTACCAGATACATGATTTTAGAGAAGTTACTTTCTCATCACTCTTCAATATGGAATTAAGGAGTTACTACATGTGAATCACTTAGATATTCAATAAATGTTATTTCTTATTCATGTAAATAATTGAATGTATTAAATTATTTTCAAATAGTTAGGCCAGAAGCCAGACTAACTGAACTTTATATAATCTTTAAAAAGTTGATGTAAAACTTTGTGTAAGCAATTCAGAAGCAACACGCTTGTATTACTCTTAAAACCCAATCAAATTAAATTAGGCTGGTCACTGAAAGAGGGACGTTCCTCAGGGTAACTCTAGTAAGCAGTACTTGCTACTTCAGTTGTTCCTCCCTTCTTTCTCCCTCTCTTTTTCCTCTTCCAATCATCCTAATAATGGTAGACAATTTCCACATGCTTTACAGATGAGAAAACAATAATAATAAAATAACACTTTATAAAGTCATTCAACATTTTTACCAAATATAATGTTTTTTCTGCAGTCAAAATAAATGTAGTTTCAAAGCCAATATTACAAATAGAAATGTGACTCCATCTATTGATAAACCTTATTTTGATTCAGTGCTGAAATTGGCTTCAGTAATTGCTAGCTACCCCTTTTCTTATATCCAACATCAATATTAATTAGATATACGAAGGGAAAATTGGAACTTAGCTTAAAAAAATTGTTAGGCTCCTGGCAAGAAGAATGCCTTTTCTCATCAAAAATTATAACCTTCTGGGGATAAAAATAACAACAAAACAATAGCATTAGAATCAGCAGAGCTGAGATGAAAGGCATGGGATTTGCTGTCATGGACTGGATTTATGCTTGTCTCTGTGATGTACTTCCAGGGATATCTTTATTCATTAACTCCCAAACTATATATTGAATCCCAACCAAACGTCAGCCATTGTGCCAGGCTCTAGGGTTACACCATGGACAAAGGCCAACCACTGAACTCACATGTGTATTAATACGATAGAGATAAAAACAACCATGTCAAACAAAATCATTCCTTTGTTTTACCAAATTTCAATAATCTTAGGAAAATCTCTAAATATAAAAGACTAAATACACACAAATATTAGTTATAGCATTATCTTTAATAATTACATCTTGAGAACAACATCAATAATAGGTAACTGGTAGATAAACCATTGTCCACTTTATATGAAATTATATAGACATCAGAAATTATTTTAATGAAACAATTTTTTTAACTATGAAAGAATTCTTACAATAGAAAGTAAAAAATGTAAAGTGTAACACGCCATATGATATATCAATGTAAGTTAAATAATTTGTAAATTTTAGGCATTGTAATTAAGGCCAAAGGGTAATGCAAGAGAATATCAACAGAGGTTGTTCTTGGGTAGTACAACTATCAGTTTGTTTTGTCTTTGTTTTGTTTTGCTTCTTTATATAACTCTATACTTTGCAAATAATATAGAGTATCCAACTACTTATAATGTAAAGAATATTCCAATAGTGTTACTAGTAATAATTCATAATAAGAGTGATTTTAATATTTCAAACAGTAGTTGAGCGTATATGCTATGCACATGTGAAATGCCATAGCAGGCACATAAATATTTCTACTTCTCTGCCCTTGCAGCTGGACGAAATTAGCTTTGCATGACCTGAGTTCCTAGACAGTAGTGCAGTGTGTATATAATTTGAATAATAAATCATGTTTTATTTCTTAAAAAGATATGCTGTAATAACTTCTGCAACAAACTGTTTCATAAATATGGGTTGCATAATATTTAAAAGATTGTGTTCAAAATATTTAAAGCAATCTATATGGTTCAAAAGCATGTAAGTGAGCAGAAAAAGGGGCTAGTGAGTGGGAAAAATTGGGAGATGTTAGTCAAAAACTACAAACTTCCAGTTACTGAAGAATTATTCCATTTACTAAATAATTAGGCCTGGGAATCTAATGCACAGCATTGTGATTATAGATAACAATTCTGTACTATAGACATACACTTGAAAGAGTAGATCTTAAATTTTCTCACCACAAAAAAAGAAATGGTAACCTTGTGATATGATGGAAATGTTAGCTAGTGCTGTTGTGGTAATAATCATATTGTAATACATAAGTGTATCAAGTCAGCACATTGTACACCTTCAATTACAAGATGTTACATGTCAAGTATAGTATCTCAGTAAAGTTGGGGGAATAGATACTAAAAGGAAAAAGGTTACCTAGGAATTTTTTTAATGCTTCATTAATAATAACCACATGTAAATAATTGCAAATGGGTTGGAGAAAAGCCTAATGTTCCATCAACATCATCCCTACACTGCAGCAAGAATTACTAGGACCACAGAAGTCTGGCCTACTAGCACCTGTTGAAGAAGAAACTTCCCTACATGATAAATGCTGCCTTCAGATAGATGGAGAAAACGGTCACACCTGGAACTTTCAATAATGTGTTTTTTCTGTAGTGACTGATTGCTACTCAGGAATTTTCAACTTCAAATCCCACAGAAAATAAATAGTGCAAATATGATGAATAAATCTTTTTAATGTAATTTTGGAGAAAATAATCAGAGTAGCTGCATACAAAATTCAAATACAAGTAGCTTCCATTCATTTATATAGATGTGAAATAAAACTGACTTTGTAAATCAAAGGTAAATGATCACAATAATGTGTTTCATCTCCTCTCACATATACTATTTTTTGTTAAATTGTTATAAAATGAATATATGATTATTTTGAAAACTTCTTGAAGTATATTTTATTGATTATGCTATTACAGTTGTCCCAATTTTTCCCCTTTTCCCCCCTCCACCTGGTACTCCCCTTCACTCCAGCAGTCCACACCCCTTAGTTCATGTCCATTGGTCATGCATGTAAGTTCTTTGGCTATATTATTCTTAACATCTCCCTTTTTATTTTGCATCTACTAACTATGCTTCCTAATCTCTGTGCCTTTTCCCCCATTCTAACCCTTCCTTCTCCCAGCTGATATCCCTACAAATGATCTCCATATCTGTAATACTGTTCCTGTTCTGGTTGTTGCCTACTTTTTTAAACGTGTTTTTTAATTTAAGATTTGTATTTATTTATTTTTAGAAGGGAAGGGAAGGAGAAAGAAAGGGAGAGAAACATTAATGTGTGGTTGCCTTTCCTGTGGCCCTCACTGGAGACCTGGCCTACAACTGAGGCACATGCCCTGGCTGGGAATCAACCCAGTGACCCTTTGGTTTGCAGGCACATGCTCAATCCACTGAGCCACACCAGCCAGGGCTTTTTTTTTTTCTGATTCATTTGTTGATGTGAATTTGTTGGCATTTTAATGTTCATAGATTTAATCTTCTTTTTTTAAAAATAAATCCCTGTAATATTTCATGTAATAACAGCTTAGTGATGATGAACTTCTTTATTTACCTTGTCTGGGAAGCACTTTATCTGCCCTTCCATTCTAAATGGAAGCTTTGCTGGATAGAATAATCTTAGTTGTAGGTCCTTGCTTTTTATCACTTTGAATGCTTCTTTCCAGTCCCTTCTAGCCTGCAAGCTTTCTTTGGAGATATGAGCTGATAGTCTTATGGGAACTCCTTTGTAGGTAACTCTCTCCTTTCTTCTTGCTGCTTCTAAGATTGTCTCCTTGTCTTTAACCTTTGGCATTTTAATTATGATTTGTCTTGGTGTGGTCCTCTTTGGGTCTAAGTTGTTTGGGACTCTCTATGCCTTCTGGACATGTATGTCTATTTCTTTCACCAAATTGGGGACGTTTTTTTCAAATTATTTTTCAAATAATTTTCCATTTCTGGTTCTTCCTCTTCTCCTTTTGGAGATCCTGGCACTTTTGGAAATGTCCCCGAGTCTTCTTATACTCTCCTCATTTTTTTGAATTCTTGTTTCTTCCCTCTGTTCTGGTTGAATATTTAATTCTTCATTATATTACAAATTGTTGATCTGAACATCAGCTTCCTTCCCTTCATTGGGTGTTACCTGTGGATTTTTCTTTACTTCACTTAGGGTAGCCTTCATTTCTTCCCTTATGTTTTTGCTGTATTCAGTGATTTCTCTGAGCATCCCGATCTCCAGTGTTTTGAACTCTGCATCTGATAGGTTGGCTATCTCCTTTTAATTTATTTCTTTTTCTGGGGTTTTGTTCTGTTCTTTCATTTGGGCCATATTTCTTTGTCTTCTCAATTTGCAGCCTCCTTTGTTTCTTTCTGTGTATTAGGTAGAGCTTCTCTGACTCTCTGTCTTAGCACACCTGTTAAGTTGTATGGGGTGGAGCCTTAGGTATTCACTGGGCAGGCCAACTGACTTCACCCTTTTGTGGTACTGTGGGGTGGGGAAGGGTTGGAGAGGTGACAGTGTTGCTGCCTGGCTTCTGGAGGCTAGACTAGCACTCACCCCATTTCCAGTCACTTCCCCCACTTCCCATATGTGACTAGCACCCTTCTAGCTGATGCCCTGGTGGTGATTCCCAGAATGGGTGCATTTGTGTATGTTCTAGGTCTATGAGGGCCCTTTAAATAGCCTCTCCTGAGTAACCAGCAGTTTCTTCCATTTCTCCAACCCCCACTGGTTTTTACAGTCATAATTTATGAGGCTTTATGTTCCTGGCACTGGAACCCTGGGCTGTGTGATGTGGCCTGAAGCTGGGATCATTTGCTCCCAAAGTAACACTCCCAACTTTTATCCACCACACAAGAATATGGGCCACCCATTTTGCCACCACCACTGCCACCTCTCCACAACACACGATTGCTCTCTGTCCTGGCTCCCCATCTCCACCCACCCTACCTAGATGTCTGCATGAATATGGCTTCTTTAAATCCTTGGTTGTCAGACATACATACAGTTCAGTTTTCTGGCAGTTATAGATGTTTTTTGTTTTGAGGTTAGTTGTGATTCTTCTTGTGGTTGCACAAGGAGGCAAAGCATGTCTACCCATGCCTCCATCTTGACCAGAACTCTTATTTTGATAGCTTTTAATGGACCAGTTTTGTTACAACATAAAGACATAAATATAGACTCAAATGTATTTCTTATTCAACTGTATTGAGGTATAATTCATATTCAACAAATACTCTTTTTAAATGTAGAGCCCGATGAGTACTGGCAGATGTATGCATGCACATATACTATACATTGCTACAAAAAGATCTAGAGCATATTCATCACCACAAAGAGTTCCCTTGCATCCTTTTGCAGTCATTACTTCAGCTCTGCTTCAGCCCATGTGCCTGCTGATCCAATTGTAGATGTATTTTGATGTACTGCCCTTTATACCACAAGTGCTCAAAATCAGTCTACTGTTTTGAAATACTGGTTGGTTAGATGGTTGGTTGGTTTAAATAAACAGCAAGTGTAGAGCAATTCAGTTGAAACAAATAACAAATGTACCTACTCCTATGTTTAATCAAGGAACACAGTGACTTACTATAACTTTGAAGAACAAGAAAAGAGCAAGTTTTGAATATCTCATTTTGAATCAAAAGTGTTTCACCTTCTAATTGAAATGAAAATTTGTCTGCACCTCCAATATTGTCAGTTTCCTCTCCTATAAGTTATTGGTTGAGAGTTTGGGGATATGCTGCTTTATCACTAGGAAATATTTGTAGAAATGTTATACCAGCCTGTTCAAAATCTGTTCATTTTGTCAGCTCATAAAAGGAAAAGAACAAACATAGTTGAAGAAAAAAGAGAGTAAAACAACAAGACAATCTAGCTTTAATTTAGGAAATATGCAAAACCATAGTCTAGAAATACCTCCACCGTGGCTTATAACACACCACTAGCAAACACTTACTTTCTGTGGCATTTACTGTTTATGCTTTCCAGTACATGAGACAGTTTTTCAGAAGCACTTATAGTCATAATGGTTTGATTTAAAAATGAATCATGAATAAGGGATGATTTAGGAAGTTATTGATGGATGGAACTAAAGACATTGAAGTAAGTATTGATACAAAAAGAAAATAGTTTTGTATTGCCCAACAATTACTACACTCAATGTATAAAATATTTCATTTTTGAACCTTGTTTCAGATGCTCTTCAAAGAACTTGTACTGGTACAATTACTATTAACCTTGAAGGTTCCGAATGGGAACAGTCTGGACCTACTACAACAAGTGGCCCTGGATATGAAGTTACACCTACTACTTCTGAACTTGAAAATGATCACAGTGTTGGCAGTGGTGAAGGTGGTGGTGGAGGAGTAAGTGAGCAAGGAGAAACAGGGGTTGGAATAGGTGTGCCCCTTATTGCAGATAATGTGCATTTTGGTCCTGCTGGCATTGGACTACTCATCATGGGATTCTTGGTCCTAGGATGTAAGTACTTTAACAGTCCATTTTATATGTGCCCCCTCAAAAGGAATTGTGAGAAGTTTTCTGATGTTTTGATAAAATATATTTTATAAATTCTTATTTTTTCAATTATCAAGATATTTCTATATTTAGTGCTGGATTTGTAAGATAAAATAGTCCAACTTCTTGACAGTGAAGGATAAAAAGTTTTTCATTAAATCTCAGTGTAGTGGGAAGTCTCATAAGATGCAGTTCAAATTCCTATGTGAGTGAAGTACTCAATGAGAAGCAATCGATTAGGAGTCAGGAAAGCCTACATAGAGAAAATAAATTCTCATTTGGGTATTAACAGAACAAGCCTAATGAAGAAGAAATGGGGAACACATAACAAGGAGAGAAAATAATCTATGTACAAACCCCCTAAAGAATGAAGGGCTGGTTACCAACATAAAAGACTCCAATAGGAAGAACCAGAGGATGTGCAGGACTGCGTGGTGACAGTTGAGACTAGAAAGATAGGCAGGCGCCAGACCCTGAAGGGATTTCATGCTATGCTAAGACTTAATGAAAGAGATCCAGATAGACATAGTGTTAAACTTCAGCTTCTAAATGTAATTGTCTGAGTCTTTCACAGATTATGTAACTTGCTGATCCACAGAAACATTTACGATCACTAGAAGAGACCTAGTCAAGATTCTAGCCATGAGGGTATAGTATGCACTGTATTCTCTAAATGGTCTTCAACGTTGCCTAGAATGATGATAGATATTAGAGTAGAGATGAGCTAGATCTTACTGTCTCTGAGGAATGAGAAGGGGAGCTCTGAAGTAAGTAAGTTGATACCTGCACATTACTATTAAACTAAATATTGCCATTTTTCAAATATAGAATCATAAAATCTCAGTGACAGGATACCTCAGGCATTAATCAAAACATATGCACATAAAATATCAAATCACAACACTCTGCATATAAAATATTTTTTCTACCTTCATTTTTTAATATATAAACAGCTGTACAATAGATGTTTTACACTGAATTTATTAGTAGACAGGATTTTCTCCAATTTTAAATAACTTTCACTCTTTTGAAATTTATGATCAAAAGCAAATTCATCTGAACCACAAAGGCTTTGGACATGCTGATAGCCCAACTTAAAGTGGAGGATCTTTTTCCACAATTGAAAATGAATTTCAAAAAACAAGAAATTTATATGTGAAGTAATAAGACTTCATTCTTATTCATTCATAAGAAATTGAAATGACCATGAAAAGTTCTATTAAAGGAGAAAAAAGGTTGAAAAAACATTCTTGTCAAAATAAACCAAGGCAACAAAAATGCTAGCAAATTTGCAGAATGCAATATAAAATATATATGAGAAGACACAATCCTCTAATTTCCCCTGTTTGGATATATTAATTATTAAACAACATTTTAAACAATTGACCCAGGTACTGACTGCTTCTACTGCAAAACCTGTATAACTTTAACTTTGAGTTTGCTTTTTATATTGGTGACTGACTACCTTTAGTTAGTATGGTTATAAAATATTTTAAAATTGTATTATGGGCTTTATATTCAAACACCTCTAGATTCAAAGCTATCTCTAAGCTTGACATATTTTCAAGAAAGCAAAACACCAGGAATTATTTTTCTCCTATTTTTCCTTCTTTCTTCTCCTCGCTCTCTCTCTCTTTTAGAAATAAAATGTGTGTATTATTTATTACACTGAAAGAATGACCATTAATAATCACTCCTTCAGGCTTAACTCCACTGAGTTAAATATATTAACAATAATTTGCATATAACAAATATATTTCCTAAACACCATAGATAAATCATTCTATGTGTACATTTTAAACATATTCTGTGTTTAGGACTCAAAAGTAGCCTTGAACATTTAAAACAGCAAAAATATACAAAAGAATGACAAGTGGAAGTAGTGCTGGCACAGTGCCCTGTGTTTGTATCCAGAGACACACCATAGAAATCCCAGGTTAAGAAAACATTAAAAACTGTTTGGTATATAAGAATATTTTGGGAGAGGGGAGTGGAGAGAACAACAGTTTCCCTTTGGCTTAGGAGAGTCAACAGCGTGAAGTCATTAAACCTGAATCAGAACCCACTAAAGGAGTCAGAATTCAGGGGTGGGAAACTCAGAGTGGCAGGGAGCTGTGTGAGTTCTTCACTCCCTTCACCAGGCCCAGCCCAGGTTCCCGCCTAGAAAGAGCTGCTGAGGCTACTTCTGTTTCAGAAGGATAATCATGTGATGGTGTGAGTGGCGCTTTCATCTTACTGTCTGCAATGAACGATGATTTGAGAGATGCTTTTCCATTTTAAAACACAAATGTCTGTACCCCAGCAGATGAATGTGCAGCCCCTGCTGGGAGTCTCAGGGCCACCTCCGCTCCCACCATCAGTGGCCCTGTGAGCAGGGAGCCTGGAGGGGCCCAGCAGCCAGGAGCTCAGCTGTCAGTGTGTAGGCAGCCCAGAGTTGACTGTAGTCACCTTTCTACCATCACTTTTAATCAGAGCTGCCCTCTTGTCTGGGCATTACAATCTCACTGAAGGCTTTTCCCTATGAGTACATTTGGGGCACTGCACAGTGTCCTCTGGGTGTGGAGGGTAATGACAGGCAGGGAACAAGAAGGGTGCAGACACTTTCTCTTCTTCTCAGGAACCCAGGCTTGCCCAGCATTTCCCTCCATCTTATTACTCTCCTTACTGTGTTCCTCCCTGCCTACGTTGCTTTCTTCTTTTCCTTTTACTCCTTATGCACTTTTTAAAAAATTTACACATTCTCCTGGCTGGCATAGCTCAGTCGATTGAGCGCGGGCTAGGAACCAAAGTGTCCCAGGTTCGATTCCCAGCCAGGGTACATGCCTGGGTTGAAGGCCATAACCCCCAGCAACCGCACACTTATGTTTCTCTCTCTCTCTCCCCCCCTTCCTTCCATCTCTAAAAATTAAAAAAAAAAAAAATTACACATTCTACCTGGCTTGCATAGCTCAGTGGATTGAGCGCGGGCTGCGAACCAAAGCGTCACAGGTTCAATTCCCAGTCAGGACACATGCCTGGGTTGCAGGCCACGGCCCCCAGCAACCGCACATTGATGTTTCTCTCTCTCTCTCTCTTTCTCCCTCCTTTCCCTCTCTAAAAATAAGTAAATAAAATCTTTTAAAAATTTTTACACATTCTATTCATACACCTATTCATTCCAAAGCATTATTTAAGATCATATTATGTAAAACGCCCTGGGATAGAAACTTATGTAGATAAGACAAATCCAGTTGGTTAATAGAAAGAGACATAGCTAAGCAGTGTAATGTCCTTTGTCTCTGCACAAGTAAGTTCAAGAAAAGATATCTGGCTAGGGGCAAATAATAGCCTCAGAGAGGATAATGGCTGAAAGCATAAAGAAGGGGTTCCTGTTGAAATAAAAAGTCAGGCATGTGTGAAAGGAAAAAATATAAAGACAAGAAAGAGGAAATGTGAAAAATCAAACCTCTGGACTGGCCTTCCCAGCTTTCTTTTTCTCTCTTTACTATTTTCCTGAGTGATGACAAGGGGAAGACCCATCTGTTTCAATAGTATCACACTATTTACAGTCTGCATCCGATATAACAAATGAAAATTGATTGTAATCTAGTATACTAAAGCTCACCTTGATATTGACATCTCACCTTACTCAGTTTATTTTCTGACACGTTGATAATAATTTCAGGACCAAATGGGTTATCATATATATACACATAATATATTAGGAATTCAAATTTAATCACAAAAAGCAAGTTGTTCTGTTTTAATATGGCCCCACAGCCAATTTCAATATTCCCATCCTCTCACCACCAGTGGTCCCATTTTTGCTGATATGCTGTGATTGTGGAGGTACTTCTTGTGGGGGAGCCGGATTTGAGCCTGTTCCTGAATGTTCAGATGGAGCCATTCATTCATGGGCAGTAGAAGGACCACAGCCCCAGCTGATGGTGAGTGCAGATCTGTAAGAAACAGACTATGGTCATCACCTAAACTCAGCCTTGTGCTCATGAAACCAGACGTGCGTGGTCACCCCCATCCTATGCTGTTCTCTGTTCTGGGATAGCCAATGGGGAAAATGGAGAGGGGTCAGAGGTGCATCAAAATTAGGTGGAAGTAATCAGGGGAGGCTTTCTGAATGAGGTTCCTGTTTTAAATGAGTTTCAAAGGTTTCTAAGTAGTATTCATTCAGGAAATCTTAGTTAATTGACAACTAACCCAAGGTATAACTAGAGATGGAAAAGTCATTACAAATTGCAAAATACTGTTTCTTGCCTTTTAGGATTTGACCACACTCCCTATACTACAAATACCATCGGATAATGCAAATGTGATTGAATGTATTGACACTTCAGGTACAATGTTATTTTTTTTTTATTTTAACAACTCAAGTGATGCAGAATGAATTTTGTTCTCTCTTTGCATACCTCACTCTTTCCCAATTATTTCATGTGTCTTTAAAAGTGTTTCAATTATTCCTTTTTAAATAACTGATTTGCTAATTAAATGATGAGGAAAACTACAGTATTATTCTTATATGTTAAATTTTTAAAATCACTCTCAATCATCGGAGAATATTTAGGAGATAACCTGATTAAGATGTCTATAAATAGGAAAGAATAACTAAATTGTAATCATGAGTCGATATTGGTTTGGGATTTTTGTTTGTTTTGTTTTTGTTCAATAGAGCAACCCTTATTTACCTCAGAAATACTAGTTAGAGTTAAAATTCAACCCAATTAAAATAAATCTGTGCTTATTTATTGAGAATAAAATCTCCCAAAAATGCTAATTAGAACTAAAGTGCAACCCAATTAAAATAGATCTATGCTCATTTATTGAGTCTGGCATCTACCTCCACAGTTCATGAATGGTTCAAAGTCACTCTGACTTCAGCTACTGTCATGACAGAATTAAATACTACATCCATTCTCAGCATCACCATAAATGTTAACCTAAAGAGCTTCGTCCCTCTTATCAAAATGAAAGTAAGTGGATAAAACACCATCAAAATCTTTCAAAGCTCTCATCTGACGTTGTGGGCATGTGGTAGAGTCTCTCCTTGCACATGGGTAAAACTATCAGTGTAGTCTACTTCACAACAGGGGTCTAGACCAATTGACAGGCCAACACCAGGGGACAATTAGATTTTCATGGAAAGTAAATAACTACCACTCTTATTTTTAAAAAATTAATTTTTAAGAACTCATACATTTGAAAAGAGTTGTACCATCTTTCCTTGTTTCCAGGTAAGTAAATGTTATTGATTCTCTTATTTTTCTATCTTCTTCAAACTTGTATTCATGACTCTTATACTTTGAACTCTTTAAAATTCAAGAGGTACAGACATGTTTGTGACTTCTAGAACTGGACTTTATTCAAAGGACTGGACAAGCTATTCTTTAAAACTATTTCTCTTCCTGATATATCCATTTTTGAGGGTGGGGGTACCATTACCCCCCAATTCAGAAGCAGAAACTCATCCTCTTATATTTTCCTATTTATTGAGATCCAATCAGTTCTCAAGACGTCAATCCACCAGCATATATTTATACCTTTATTCTCTCATTAAGTCTCAAATCGTTACCCAAATCTTGAAGAAAGCACAACGAGAGGCACCAAAGTAATAGCAGTATAGAGAGCACGCTGACCCTAAAATCAAGATCTTTAAAATATTAAAGCATGGGACACCTTTCCCACGTCAAGACTTCCCTTTCCGTGGCTGTCCAATAGTCCAGGCCATTGTTTTATCTCATGTACCTTGAATACTGTAACAGACTCCTACTTGTCCCTCACATGCAAGTGCAGATAAGAGATCCCATGGAAACCTTTCCCCTGGCTGTGGCCATGGCTGCTTCGAAAGCCATCATTCAAGGTGTTTGCCAGAGGCTTTGTGTTTCTAGTACATGGAGTATTCTCATACCATTTAACTTATAGAATTTAGGATATTTTCCCCCAATTTTTGCTAACTTACAGTCAAAATCTCATAATAACTATATGTGGTGCAAGTTGGATACTGTAAATATCAGGGAAACACTGTAAAGTATATGATTGTCTTATCAATATGTTGTACACATGAAACAAATACAAAATAATATTGAATATAAACTGTAATTTAAAAAGACTTTCATTAAAAATAAATAAAATAAAGCCCTGGCTGGTGTAGCTCAGTGGATTGAGCTCAGGCTGCGAACCAAAGCATCGCAGGTTCGATTCCCAGTCAGGGCACATGCCTGGGTTGCAGGCCACGGCCCCCAGCAACCGCACATTGATGTTTCTCTCTCTCTCTCTCTCTTTCCCCCTCCCTTCCCTCTCTAAAAATAAATAAATAAAATCTTTTTAAAAATAAATAAAAATAAATAACTAAATAAATAAAATAATTTCAAAAGCATGGGTTTTTCTAATCTCTATGTAGCCCCTCTCTTCTAGTCAACATATAGTTACCAAAAAGTAATTAGAAACAATAATTAACAAACTAATTGATAATATTATTTTGAACTCAACATCATATTTATTATTCCTCTATTTAAATTTCACCTTCCGTTTTTTCTTTGCTCACAAATATATACTTAAATGATGAAACCATCCATTAAAGTAAGGTACTGATGTTCAGTCTCTAATACCCTACACAAAGTAACTTTAATTTGATTTACACTTTCAGGTATTTACACAAATGAGTATTGTGGAAGAGAAATGCAAGATATGGGAGAAGAAGAAAGAATGAGAAGATTTGAACTAACCGATGCAGTTAAAACACCACGAGCACGTGAGGCATGTCAAGAATATTCTGGAATATTAAGAAGAAATTCTATGAGGGAATGTAGAGAAGGAGGTCTGAATATGAGCTTCATGGAAAGTTACTTCTGTCAGGTAAGGGCTCCAACCCCCATGCCTTCCTGCCCATCCCAGACCCACTGCTGTGCCCCAGGCTCCCATTATTTCCCTAAGGGGCTTTGGCAGGCATTTCCTAGCTGGGCTTCCAGCCTTGAGTTGTTATGCCTGGAGATGCATAGTGCTGCTAAATAGTACAGCTAAAACTCTGATTGAGGCTTGTTACCTTCCACTTAAAAACAGCCAATTGTTTCTGTATGGCATGAAGTCCTACTTAGCAAATAAGTTTATCCACAAATTGGCTCTGCCCTCTCATCCCCAATTACTACTAAATGCACTTGCCAAGTGCCTTTGCTTTCTTTACACCAGTCTGTTGTCTTCCACACCGTGCCTGTACTGGAATGCTTTCATCTGGTCATCACTCTCATAAACCCCTACCCACCTCCAAACCTCATTCAAATATCACTGCCTCTGAAGTTTTATTGTTAACTGCTTCATTGAAAATAGGGTTGGTGTTTCCTTATCAGTATTTCTGTAATACACATTCTCCTCAACTTACAATAGAGTCTGTGCCCTTAAGCCAATCATTAGTTGAAAAAATTTAAATTGAAAATGCATTTAATACACCTAACCTACCAAATATCCTACATTAGCCTAGCCGTAATCTACTGAATGCACATCACTTTTACACCATCATAAAATAAAAAATTGTTAAATTGAATCATCGTATGTCAGGGATCATCTGTACTTTGTCTATACATTTTAGAAATACACCATTTCTAAATCTGTTAGTTTATATCACTACCACACTTTTTGGTGCATGAAGTGCATGTTCTCCACATTATGTTGCTAGTATCTAGCCCAGTTCCAGGCACACAATAAAAATTCCGTAAGAGTGGGTTCAAGAGACATAGTATAATTCCAGAAAATTCTAAAAACCAGTAAGAATTAATTTTGCCATCCTCAGGCAGAGACAGAACTGCCCATGGTGACATGCCATGTGGTACTTAAGCTTTAAGGAATTTACTCTCTCTGATACACATATGTCCTTCTATATCCTGGCCTAAAATGCCTTCATGAACTCTCCTAAGCATTTAGATGGTGGCTGGTATTTTGAAATAATATACTAATAAAAGCCTTTCGAATCCCAGTGGATAATAATAAGAGGTCTGTTGCTGAAATCCATAGGAATGTTACCTATTCAGGTCCCAACAAATTAATATATTTTCATGAAAAGTACAATTCTGCCTCCCAGCTTCTACACTTACAGGTCCTTCTGCCCAGATCATTCTATCTGCTTTACTCACCTGTGATTCAAATTCTGATCCAACATCACTTCTGGAGATGCCATCCCTGGCCATTCTACCTGAAAGAGCAGCCCCCATCACTTTCTGTCCCTGTACCCTGCTCTCAACACCTCCTGACAAACATGTTTCTGTGTTGTCTGCCTCATCCTACTCAGATGTGAGCCCTGCCAGGAAAGGACTTTATCTAGTTGTGTTCATTACCTCATTGCTAAGATCCTAATGGAATTTATTGCAAATGGTGAGAGCTCAAAAACTATTTGTGAATGAAATGGCTCAATGAGTTGTTTTTCTAATAAATGCATTTCTGATACTTAACCTGAAAGTTTGCAGTCCATTAGCATGAACACTAAAGATGGACTATAAATACACATGTCTGTGGGCTTGCACTTTGAATTGAAGGAGTCTATTTTTAATAACTTTCTTTGATCACCTACAATTTTGACTCCCAATGTGGCACAGACCCACAGTTAAATTTTTTCTGTCATTTTTTGGAAAGAGCAACATTGAAATAAATTTCACAAATTCAACATAATCACTCAATCTGAAGGAAGGAAAGCACAATTCTGAATGAACTCAAATTAGCTCCAACAACATTTCTAATTAAACCAAAAAAAGTACACAGTGGGGTATACTTCCAATTCAGCATTTTTAAGTATCTCCTTCTAACTTGGTTACAAAATAATTCATGTGATATTTTGTGTTTTTTGTTCAGTGTACACTCTTATAAAATCCATCTAAATAAATCTTTAAAATCATAATATATTTTAGAATGACAGTTAAAATAATTTCTAAGCAAATTCTTTCATGCTGTTATATGTTTTATAGAGCACCTCTAGTAGATGTTAGAATTTTGTTTTTTATTTTTCCTTTAATGATGTCCTGTAAAAAAATTAATGATAAGGACTTCCATTACTGTTAATTATGTATTTATGATTTCCTTTTCTCTTTCCTCCACCAACTTAGAAAGCATATGCTTACGCAGATGAAGATGAAGGACGGCCATCCAATGACTGTTTGCTCATATATGATATTGAAGGTGTAGGTTCCCCCGCTGGCTCTGTGGGTTGCTGTAGCTTCTTTGGAGAAGACTTGGATGACAACTTCTTGGATACTCTGGGGCCTAAATTTAAGAAGTTGGCAGATATCACCCTGGGAAAAAATGTTGAACCATATCCAGACTCTGATCCCTCATGGCCACCTGAGAGCACTGGACCCATTTACCCTCCACAAGAAACAGAGCCCCTTACTAGCGTGCCTCCACCCACCTCCCCACATTACGGCACTACCACAGTCATTTCTGAAAGCACCTACCCCTCGGGACCTGGTGTACAGCATCCTATGCCTATTCCTGATCCTCTGGGCTATGGTAATGTCACTGTGACAGAGTCTTATGCCACCTCTGGCACTCTGAAGCCCTCTGTCCACATTCATGATAACCGACATGCCTCAAACGTGGTGGTGACAGAGAGGGTGGTCGGCCCGATCTCTGGTGCTGATTTCCATGGAATGTTAGAGATGCCTGACTTGAGAGATGGCTCCAACATTATAGTGACAGAAAGGGTAATAGCACCAAGTTCAAGTCTACCCACCACTTTGACCATCCCTGACCCTAGAGAGTCTTCAAATGTGGTAGTGACAGAAAGAGTAATCCGACCCACTTCTGGCATGGTGGGCACTTTGGGTATGCACCCTGACTTATCAAATGCCCACAACATGATTGTGACAGAGAGGGTTGTCTCTGGCTCTGGTGTAACTGGAATTAGTGGCCCAGCCGGGATAGTTGGAGGCAGTGGCACATTCAGCAGTGGCTTTGTTGGCAGTGAAAGCTGGAATAAGTGGTGGTGGCATCATGCTGAGTAGTCTGGAAGGAGGTGGGGGCCTGAGTAGCAGCATGGGGAGGACAGCCACCATTGGCCACATGAGGAGCTCCTCTGACCATCACTTTGGCCAGACCCTTGGATCTGCCTCCACTAGCACAGCCCAAAGTCAAATCACAAAGTACAGTACAGTACAATATGCTAATCAGCCAGGATCCCAGTACACTTTTTCTCAGCAGTTGTGATTTAGGTTCAGTTCCCACCACCAGAGAGCTCACAACGTCATTTAAGATGCACAACTCAGTGCTACAGTGCTACGGTAGTTATAGAGCAAGATTCGAAATCACAGTGAGAAAAACAGGTGAAAACAGTGCTGCTGGGCAAGAGCTCTCCATAGCATTTGTAAACTTTTTTGTTGTGTTAATACTAATGGAGCCATGACAGGGAAGTAAAACCTGATTCAGGGTTTTCTTCACTTCTGTGTGGCCTGCAGTGCATCTCTAGCACATGGAAGAAATAAAACTCAGTCATGTAAAAGCACAGGCCTTATGATGGAAATTTACATAAATAATTCTCTTGCTCTTTTTTGATTTGTCATGTTGTTCAGGCAAGATTTAAAAAGAACTAAAGATGCCATATGTATTAATGTATGTGCGACGAATTTGAAGTTTGGGCCAAATACCCTGTCAACTTCACAGATAATATAAATAAAAATTCAACCACATATCCAGACCAGAGTTAACCACTAAAGAAGAAAGAATTTGGTTACATAGTTAAATCTACAAGCCACGGAGCACTGCTACCTTAGTAATCACACTAGGTAAAATAAACCTCAAATTAGAAAATGTTTTGGGAGGGATATTATTGCATAGGAGTGTGGCAAAAGTATGAGGTCCTTTGGGGTACACTGGCAATGTCTGAGCCTGAAACTTGACATACAACTGCAGCTAAAATTTTTCTGGAGTCAAGACTTGTCTGCTTCTAGTTTGTGTTCAATGGAAAGGCAATATCAATTGCATTGCCTACTGGCGAGGTTGCAGGATATCACACTCATTTTCCCTTTTCACAGTTGCTTTGACTTGGTAAAGGGAAAACCTGCCAATTGTACTTTTCACATTGAAGCAAGTAACAACTGACATGGTCGTCCTCACCAGTGGTAGATGACCTTCCAAGGAAGCAGATGGGAATGGCATTGTACTTTCAGGCTGTGTTTTTAGCAAGTGTTATTCATTTACATTCAGCCTCTTTATTTTACATCTCCTAAATTAAAATAATTAAATTAAACTGGGCTGTATGATTAAGCTTTTGGGGAAAATTTTAAACAGGATCTGAAAAATGTTTCTAGAACATGTATAATGTTAATGGGGAAGCATAGAATTGTTCAGTAAAGTAACACTGTACTATTAGTTTGAATTGAGCTTAGAACTTTTTTAAACAACCCTCTGCTGCTATTTTGAAGTTAACAACTAGAAACTTTTAACAGAGTTGATGATACTGTGTTAACACAAATGAAATTATACTAGGCAACTCCATTTCCTTATTCTCTCCCTTCCAATTGAATTTTCTCATTAGCATAAATTCTACATTCTTGATTTGATTTGTCAATGCACTCTTGGCTTATACATGCTCCAATTTACAGATTCTAAATTGCATCCTATATTTTTCCACCTTCAAAATTTAGTAATGTAGTGTTTATATAATATGTCATTTCTGTGTTTTGCTATAAAGTGTTGCCTGATTAAATGTCTGTAAATAGAATCAAAGCATTCTTAGCCAGAGATAAATTTACCATTGTATAGTAGAGAAATATTTTTCTCTTTTTAAACTCAATGTTAATATGAGCTCACTAAAGTAAAACTGGATATGACAAAATATTCTAAGTATTATTACCCTCAATTACTCAAATTTCCCAGAGTCCTACAAGATCAAAGAATATTCAACTTCTAACAGTTGTCAAAGGGGACTGTGTAATGAATTATTTTAATGAGGTATTTTGCTCTATGTTAAAACAGATGATGTCAATATTTCCAAGCCACAATATACATCTTATTTTAACTCTGTAGACTACGTAAAATTATAATGTTCTGTAGCATGCTCAAATGCAGAGGTCTCAATAAAGTCATTCACAGGGAGTCTTTCTTTTACTTCTTTCTCCCATTTGGGGCTTCCATTAGTGATGGTTACTTTTTGCTGGAATAAAGTCAGAGTATTTATTTAGTATGATTATATCCAAGAGTTTAAGTAAAATCACTATTAATTTTAGTTAGTTAAAGGGAGTGATATCTCACCATAAGTATCTTATTTGTCACTTTGATATGACATATCAAAAGTTTTCTTGAGACTTCTGATATTTTTGAAATATGTTTTCAGGTTGTCTATCCATTGCCAGAGTGGCCATCTCTCTGCTTTGTAATTTCCAAAAGTTATGTTTATAGCAATAAAATGACTAATATTACTTTCATTATCTTTTCTGAATTGGACGGAAGCTGGGTAACAGATGGTAAGGAATAACTAGAGGTTAACAAATCTAGTTATCTTCCATCTATATAGGGAAGAATTTTTAAAATTTTCACACTACTAAAATTTATTTTCACCTTCTCTTTCCATTTTTTGTTAATGTTCACTGAGGAGCCTACTTTCTGGAGTGAAGCTTAGTAATGTCAGCACACAGTTCGTGAGCAGCCCCACACAGATAACTCAATGATACATAACTAATGTTCTTAACTTTCACTTGATACCTTTAATGTCTTTATGCTTTTAGCTTTCTCTCTTTGCTACTCTAATGCTTTTATTTTTTGTTTACACTAACATTTTATTTCTTTTAAAATGATACTCTTTCATCTTTTTTGGTGCATATCCTCTTTGCTCTCCGATGCCATTTTTCAGACAATTATCATATTCATTTACCTAAAACCTTGCCCTTTCCATTCCCGTATGATCTGATTATATCCCCCTCCCTCTATTCTCTGAGAACCATTAACTGACCTCTTTCTTACTAATGTCCCTGCTCTTACTGAAGACTCATATTCTGGCCCAAAGTCTTCTGCGACTTCTCCAATTCCTGAGGGCGTTCACAGTGACTTAAATGACCACTTGAGTGAAGCACTTGAAATCCCAGAATCTCAGTTTCCAGACACCCATTTTCCTACTCCACCTCTTCCTGGTCATAACCAGCATGGCAGCACCTTGGATGCCTCTGTTTCACTTCCTCCTCATCCTTTTTTAAGTGTTCCAGTTGTTGCAATTCCTCCTCTTCATCAAAACTTCCATTTGTTTTGGACTCCCAGCATTTTCTCACTATCTGTTAGTTTCACTTCCCTCCTTGTCTAATCAAGCTTTATGAATCCGACTGTAGTCACCTCTTCGTGAATACCTTCAACCTCCTTGCCTTGCTATCCCACTTACATATTCCAAATCTTTTACCCTACATCTCTGTCTACACATGAACAGCTGATTCAAGAGAGCTGACTTCTTCATTTTAAATATCCAAACTCAAATCATGGAGTAACATCTACTGCTTTTCCTGATAGACTTCTTTGATAGATTCTTTGATAGACTTCCCATCTCAATCTAACAGACTAAATACTACCCCACAACTTGTTGGTCCTCCAACCTCCCACACCTCCTCTTTCCTCTCCATTCCTAGTTGATGATCTAATCCTACTGTTTTCTGAGAAAACAAGTCATCGGTCTCGAATCCACTCATCTTCCTCGGCCAAACCTACATATCCACCTGCATGTGCAACCATTTCCTCCCCCGCCTACTACAATAGAGTTACTGTCCTACTCATACAAAAAGACAATCCCCATTTGTGCTCAAGGATTTGCTCCTTCCCTAATAGTTTTTTGCTGTTTTCTCTCTCTCTCTCTCTCCCGCTCCCAGCATTTCCATCAGCACCCCTCCTTGTACCTACTACATCACTTATTATTTATTTGTTGCACAAAACTTCACTTTTAATTTAAAATTTTTAACAATGACATAAAACATTTTAATAGTACCTTTTCATCCTGATATAATTCAAAGTATTATTTTTTAATTTAATTTATTGTTGTTCTATTACAGTTGTCCCAATTTCCCCTTGCCCTCCCTTGCCCCACCCAGTCAATTTCCACCCTATTGTCCATGTCCATGGGTTATTTATACATGCTCCTTGACTAGACCCTTCAAACCTTTTAAGACTCATGTATATAAACTTTTTTTTCTTTCTCATGTCCCATCAAACTTCAACCCTCACCCATCAGTCCATCAGCATGGCCCTTGTCACCCTGGCAGGTGTGGCTCAGATGGTTGGAGCATCATTCTGTACACAGAAAGGTTATGGGTTTGATGTCTAGTTGAAGAACATACCTAGGTTTTGGGTATCCCCAGTGAGAGTGCGCACAAGAAGCAATCGATGTTTTCCTCTCATGTTGATGTTTCTCTTTCTCTCTCCACTTCTCCTCTCTCAAAAAAAAGAAAAGAAAATCAATGAGTATATCCTCAAATTAGAATAAAATATAAAGTTCTTTTTTTATAAAAAGGACTAGGCCTTGTCAAGTTTGTCTAAGACCTATACATTGCCAAACACCAGGCACACTTTTCTGTCTTTGTCTTTCGCAACTTCTGGGAAGAATCTGAAAAAAAGAAACTATTCTATCTTCCTTGAAACACTTCTTTCTTGGCTTTTAGAACACCATCTTCTCAGGATATGACTTACATTATATTGGTCACTCTCTTATTCTTCTTTGTTTGTTCCCCCACCTACTCAACTTTTAAATGGCAATCTTCCCCTAAAGTTTGGTCCCAAGACCTTTCTTCTTAATGCTCTACACTGTCTCTATGAGACCTCATCCAAGTCCTTTCTTAAGTGTTCAAAATTTAACTTATTTTGCTACCCAAATATCCCTCATTGCAGTAAATATGACCTCAGTAACCCATTACTCAAACCAGAAACTAAGTACTTGTACAGGATTAATCCTTTCCCTCATTTCTTAAATTGGATCCACTAAGTCCCACTGATTCTACAACCAGAATACATCTTATTCCATCTAGTAGTCTGCACCCCCATCTGCCATACCACCTTAACCACAATTGCCTCTTACATAGTCTCTCTACTTCCGTACAGATCTTCTTCAAACAATTTTCTACATATAAGCCAAGTACTCTTCTAAAATATAAATTAGATTAAGTAAATGCTCTTTTTAAGAATTTCAATGGATTTTCATTGCATGTCTTAGAATAGCCTGAAGGCACCTGCCTGGTCTGGTGTGAAAGTTGAGGGTGGAAATATGGTGGCAGTTGGACTGGGACGGATGTAACAAAAGTGAGAAGAAATAGACTGAGGAACTGCTTTGAACTCTGCAACTAGTATTTACCCTACATGGAATATTTTCCTCCACATTTT